TAGTTTCGTGCCATGCTACCACCAACTCCCAGGTACTTCTGGGTACTGCCTTGGGTAGAATTTGTTCAAGTTCAGGTCAGTGGTATTCATGTAGAGTGGTGTTATTTCCAGGTTCCCAAATTAATTTAATTACAACTGATCTAATGAAAAAGTTTCGCCTTCGTTCCCGGGTTAGTCTTCTTGTTGTGTTTGGAGTGGGTAATACATTCATCTCTTCATCTTTAGCTGAGGTTAAGATGAAGTTAGATTCGATGAGAAACATATATATATACATATATTTACAAATTTTCTTCAATAAATCTTTGAGTATTTTATTTTAACGTAATTATTTAATTGGGAATAAAGTCACTTATTAATCATTCGATAAACTACTAAATGCTCATTGCTTTTGTGTTTATTCGACGTTTCGATCCCGGTTTTTTATAATGGGATCTTCTTCAAAGCTAGAACAACAAATAGCTCAATCGGTACACAATTATTGTTCCATAAATTTCTTATAACAATTATTTAAAAATGTAACATACTTTTAAAATAGAGCCTCGATACCTCAGTATCCTGAAGTTTATCGAATTCAATTTTATGTTTATTCTTAATAGCATGAATTGCTAAAGCCGTATCTGAATAAGAATTATTCAGAATAAGCATAAAATTGAATTCGATAAACTTCAGGATACTGAGCTATCGAGGCTCTATTTTAAAAGTATGTTAAATTTTGAAATAATTGTTATAAGAAACTTATGGAACAATAATTGTGTACCGATTGAGCTATTTGTTGTTCTAGCTTTGAAGAAGATCCCATTGTTAATTTATAAGTTATAAGTTAAGATACTAGATATGGATAATTGTATAACAGCTCTTGGTTATAAATTAACGTATCAAAATTAATTAATATTAAATACATATATATATATATATATATAATCATCGAAATAACTTTAAAATTGTTAAAAACATAAATAAATATCAACTAATTAAATATATATATATACACTTCTTCTTCAATAGCTCTACTGCCCGGGGTGGGCCTTGGCTTCCTGAACAACAGCTCTCCACATGTTTCTGTCCTTTGCCTTTTCCCTCCAGTTTGTAACTCTTAACCGCCTGAGGTCCTCCTCCACATCTTCCAACCACCTTCTCCTCGGCCTTCCCCTTCCTCTGACACCATAAATTCTTCCTTTTAACATCTTTTTTGAGATTCTCTCATCTGGCATTCTCAGAACGTGCCCCAATCATTCAATCCGCCGTGGTTTTATAAAGCTCACAATTTCACTATGATTGAATAAATCATATAGTTCCTGATTGGTTCTAATCCTCCATGCTTGAGTTGTTTCATCGTACAAGGGGCCAAATATTTTTCACAGGATCTTGTTCTCGAAGACCCCTAACGAATTTGTCATGGTGGCAGTAATCGTTCATGTTTCAGTCGCGTAAGTAACTATGGGTCTTATTAAGGTAGTGTATAGCCTTATTTTTGTATTTCTTGATATCAAGGATTAACATACGATATAAAAATAATGTTTAGGTGTATTCGCATTGCCGAAATTAACTAATCTAAATTTATAAATATTTTTTGGAGAAGTGAATCTTCACAGCCGATCCATCAGTATAAGTTGTCATCTTGCCATTTGGGTTGAAATGTTCTCATTTTGTTGCTCAGAGAGTCATTGTACAGTTATTTAGGGAAGGCCATAATTTTCCTAAAGCTGCCCAGTGTCATGTTCAAATTTATTTAGACAATGTAATCACTGGTGCTTGGATTGTAGATGAGGCTTTGGAACTGTATAATGAGTTGATGGCTTTATTTAAAGCAGGTGGGCTTGAACTTAGAAATGAATTTCTTCAACAATTCAGAAAAAATACTTTCTGTTATACCCCAGGGTAGTTAAAAAGTTTCGTTGTGCCTTGATGGAGATTCCTAAACTGTCAAGGTTTTGGGATCCCAAACTCGATCATTTCAGGTATTCAATACAAGAAAGTGAGCATATTTTTACCAAGTGAGATATTCTGTCGGTTGCCAAAATTTTTCGATGGATGATGGATATATCAGACCTGTAATTTGTTTGGTTAAATGTATGTTAGAACGCTTGTGGCTGCTTAAGGTTGATGAGTTACGCTCTAGTGTGTTTTCATTGAAGAATTTTCGAGCTTGAGAAATGTTTGTCTGCCAGAATGCTTTATCCATGCAGATAATTGCCTTTTCAGACGCTTCCGAGAAAGGTTACGGGTATGTGATCTACATATTGGGTGCCTAGCAGAAGGCACCAAAATTCATTTGTTAAGGGCAAAACGTAAGGTGGTTCCACTTAAGGTTTAATCAGTGCCTCGTTTGAAATTAAACCATACCACTTGCGAGTATTGGTAAACATAAAAGTAATTTACGGATTAATAAAGTATACTGCTTTTCGGATTCTCGTAACCTAGTCTATTGGTTACAGAAACCGTCTTCTGAACTTAAGATTTATGTTGCCAATCGTGTAGTCCAGATTTTAGAAGTAACAGAACCCAATTGTTTGCACTAATTCCCACAAAACTGAATCCAGCGGATGCATTTATTACGTTACCTCCTTCTGACTGGCCTATACTATATACCATATTGAACCTCCATCCGTTCTGTCTGAAGTAAACACAATATCTCTCTTAGCCGCTGAAAAACCTATTGATTTGCCTGGAAAAGAACTGGAGCCGCTGCAAAGTGTTTTTGCTTCTATTTTAAAATTTATTAAGCATCGCCGAAATCGGGAGTATGGTGTTTTGCCGGTTGGAGCCTTGTCTTATGAGTAGCTTAAGGATTCATATCAGGCTTGTTCAGAGGAAATTCTTCACTGAATTAATTGATTGCCTTAACAGAGGCAAACCATATAAGGATACCTTAAACAGGCACACTCCGTTTTAGGATAAGGAAGGAGCTGTTAGGGTTTGATTTTGACTGAAGTATTCCAAACTTTATGAGAAAAGTAAGCATCCGCTGCTGATACCTAAAGATTTACATTCAGCAGTCCACTTGTGTGACCATTAACACAGGTATTCCTTGTATGGTGCACCTCAGTTGGTCCAGTCACTTATTCATCGCCAATTTTGGATCCCTTCTCTGAGAAGACTCGTTAGAAGCAAGATTTATAAATGTGCTACATGCTACAAAAATAATGCTACGCCACAGGCTCAGAAAATGAGTGACTTACCGTCTTTCAGGGTGACCGAGGGTAGATCATTTCAGCAAGTTGGAATAGACTATGGCGGCCCCTTCATTATGAAAATTTCAAGTAGGCGCAATGCTCCTGACTCGACATGTTGGTTAGATCTCGGGGGCGGGGTGGGCGAATGGACTAACGTGTGTGCACAGCACCGCCGTTGCCCAGCAATCTGATACATGAGATAACTAGACAAAAATAGTCATGAGTTCGCGTCCCGTTGCCGGAGGAGTATTTAAATCCCCGCCCTCACTCCCTGACCCGGGAAAAGCCCGTATAGCCTTAAAGGCGAGGACCCTCTCCCAAAAAATGTTAGTTAGCTCTCTTCGTATGCATGACTACCAAGGTCATCCATCTTGAACTTGAGATAGAGCTATCCACACCTTCATGTATTGCCACATTAGACAGATTTATTGCCAGACTAGGGTTCCCTTCGCATATCTACAGTGACTGTGAAAAAGATTTCGTTGGGGCATCCAAGAAGTTGAAGGAGCTTTATCAATTTGTTAAGGGCCAGAGCGAATGATTAGAGCCATTTCTAACCATTTAAGTCGGATGGGTATAAAATGGACATTTTGGTGGTATTTGGTTGGCAGATAAGAGGCACCTTCTTGCTGTTCTCCAGGATCATGCATTAAACATATAAGGAATTTTATACTCTACTGGTACAAGAGGAAGCCGTTCTCTAGTCAGATCAGAACAAGAAGATGTGCCTGTGTTTCCTTTGACAAGCCATTGGGGGATGATTTTCAAGACCCTTCGTAATTTTTGGAAGAGATGGTATAATGAGTACCTCCACAATCTAGTGCCTTGCAACAGGTGGTGTACTGACAGGGAAAATTTTAAAGAGGGAACCCTTGTTATCCTACATGAAAAAGATGTTCCACTACAAGAGTAGCGCCTTGCCAGGATAATAGATACACTTCCAGGGCCTAATGGTGTAGTTAGGGTAGTAAAATTGAGGACTGCTACAGCTACTTTGGTGTGACCTGTGCACAAGTTAGCGCCTCTCTCTTCTGGAGAAACCTTTTATTGATATGTATATTTTTTCTCTTTTCTTAAATTTAATGAGGAGCCATTTTTATTTTTAATGAATTGTAATTAATAATCTATCTTTTGATCCAGGCTCACTTTTATTTCTATTTTTCCAAAAGTATATTTCGAATAATTTCTCTCTTTGTTTATTGTAAACCAAGCAATTCTCCTCTTGTTTGTGTCTTTCCTAGTAATTACCAATCTATGAGTTATTTTTTAGTTGGTTTGTGAAATGAGATATTTTACGGTGCGAGATATGTTGTAAAATGTGAAAACAATGAGAAACTGATTTTCTAAGATCTGAAAATAAAAAGGAAATATAATAATGTTTTGGAAACAATTAACAATTCTTTTCACTAGCATGATGATAAAATTGCTATGCTTAAATACCTTCCAGTATTAGCAATCAGCCAAAGAACAGTATGACAAGGAGGTTAAAGAAACATCACACATGGCTTTCATTGATTGTTAACTGAAACACTTGATTTTTAAATGTATCAAAGTCTTTGAAGTGGGAAAGCAGGAAAGATTTTAAGAGAATGTTAGATAAAAGTTTCATTTTTCAACAGTTGCAAATTGAATATTGTTCTGAAAACTCAAGATGCTGTACCACTGAACACCGCTTCTAGGGTTAGCGAAATCTTGACGGTGCTTGAAACATATTACTTATCAACAAGCAGAAAACTGCTGAAATAAAATATAATCTAACTGAATTGAAATATCAAAATAAATAAGAGATTTACATTAGGAATCAACATAGTTGGCAATAATCCCTCATAATTCAACAATAGTTTATAAGGATAACACAGTAACAGTTCAAAAGATTAAAATAGTGGTAATGATTCTTATCCAGTAGAATAAATAAAGTCTAATGTTTGTATTATAAATAATAGAGTGAAAATACAAAGTAGTAATTTAAACATCAAGCATGTTGTATTGATTATGGAATGTCTCAGATTCTTTGGATTTATTTAATTTTTACAAAACATCATTGCAGTGCTGTGCTCATCAACATACAGCCTTCTCTAATATATTTATAACTCTAATTAAGTCATCGTTCGTTAATAATCTGTTAATAGCCAGTTTAATGCTAGGTATAGGTGTTTTCTTTTCAATATCCAAATAAGCCGTATCAGTTATGGCTAAATTCATATGTTCACACTGAAAAAATAATCAAAGATAATAAATTTATAAAAATAAAGGTACACAAAAAATATAATGTAAAGCAATAATAGTAATAATAAACACATAAGGAACAGCTGCTAGGTGCTATTGATGTGGTTTTAGGATTCCATAGGCTCTTAAGCAATTACGGTCCACAACAAATTCATACATAACAGTCGACAAATTTAAATACAATGAAAGTAAAAAATTTAACAGTAAAATCCGTATGGCTATAATTTCACTTATGAAATGCAAATCACCTAAAATATGAAGCTACAGAACAGAAGAATTACCACAGACAAATCCAAAGTGAGGGTTGACCTGCATTGTCAGCATTCTACATATAATATAATTATCTTCATTTCATATATCTTTGCTGAATAAAAGAAGAATGTAAATTATTCTAGTATTTGAGGTATATATAAGATTTTTGGTAGTATTTGAAGTTATTTTTTTCCATTCTATCACTATTGCATTTTTCAAATAACTTTTAATCTGAATTTTATAGAAATATTCCACTTATATTACACCAACAAACCTTCGAAAATATGTTGTTGATAGCATTCAGTACTAAAGTTTTCACCAGGTTTTAGCAGCTCGTAATAGATCATACCCATGTTCCACATTCTTCATTTCTGATGACAAAATAGCCACTTTTGAAATTTTTAAACCAATCAAAGGAATATAACTTGCCAAGAGCATGGTCACCCTAAGCTTCAATAAGCATTTTATTTTTATGGTAAGAGACAATAAATGCTGTCCGCAAATCATAGTCAGTAGGGACAAAACTTGACATGTTAAACAATATTAAAATGATGCTGTTATATGAAACTTGTATTGCTGCAAGTTGAAAATCTTTTTTAACTGTCAAAGAAACAAAATGGCACTAATAATGCTGTTTAACAGTAACAACTAGATCCATCTATAGACAAACTCCATTTTCATATTTACATACTTGGCATGTTGACTTTGATTTTAGGATGGAAGTGTTTCTTTGTTTCCTAGATAAAAGATTATCTGAGTATTTTTGTACGTAATATTATTTCTACTCTAAACTAGCTCAGAATAAATTTGATTTTTTGAGTGAATGTAGACTTTAATTTCTAACTGCAGTTAAAATAATTCTATCTGTAAATTCCTTTTTCTTCATTATTCATGTATAATATATTCTGGGTTTAATGAATGTATACATTCTGGGTTCAAGTGTATACACACTTTGGGTTTCAGTCAACACTGGTTGTAGACAGTTCATAAAATTTTGCTAATGTTCTTGAATTAGTTCATCTTTTTATTTTCCCTAATTTAAAGGGAAGAAGAAATAACAAATCAACTGTTTTATGGTACGTATTTTACAGTGACAAGATGAAAGCTTATATTGAACTTCTGAGATCAGGTAATATTTATTGGTCCTCCAGTTAGCGAGGTATTTGTAAGTTGCTGGGTTTTAGAATAAGCAAAATTAAGCTTTTTTGAGTTAATATTTATCTTTTTTAGCTGTAAGCTTTAATCACACCATTCCTTACAATATTTTAATTTTTTGTTGTTAGCCTGGTTTTAATTAATCACTATATAATCTCTCTGATGACAAAGTTGTGTAAACTCACTTATTTTAAAACTTAAGCGATCTCCCATTATAGTTTCGCTCACAATAAATTACTCATAATAAATTATAATAGATCCCACCAAATGCAGAGAAGCTTCGAACCATGGATATTTAGCTTTGCGGATGATGTGGACACATGGCCGGGCTTACAGTTTTCATCACCATTCATGTAAAAACTTCAACTCACACGGTACTTGGCATATTTTAATATTCTTGCTTCTGGATTATTGCCTAATGCCTTCAAATGTTCCGAAACCGTTGTGTCATCTACTAGTAATGATTTTCCAAGTTCAGCTAGGATGGGGTCTTCAATAAATAATATCTCTAATTCTTTGTCTTCATACTTTTTTTAGTGTGCCAGAGCATTCTTTATCTCCAAAATTTAAATCATTATAGTTAAAGTGTGGACACCAGTCTTTACATGTTGTTTCCGACAAAGCATGCTCACCGTAAGTCTCAAAAAGAATTCTGGGTACTTCAGCTGCAGATTTCTTTTGAATAAAATAGTGCAATGAAATACACCACAAATACTCTTTACTTGGCATAAAACACATTTATACTGTGGTGAACTAATGTACACTGAAGTACAAGCTGACCAACAGTAGTTCTAGGAAAAGTGCATTACCATCTGAAATGAAACACACATAGTACTGGTGCTGCCATCTGTTGGGAAACAGCGAGAATTCATTAAAGGTCCTGATAATGTATTAAATTCATCAATCATATAGCTAGTCAGTATGAATTACCTGATCTGAAACGAATAGTAACTGAATATATGCCTGTTATTAACTGAAAGTCACCTTTCTCTTATTGAACATTGGTGTAATAAGTGACGCATCCAAGCAAATGAATCCAAATCTAAACACATCACTTTCACCCTTCGGCGCCTCCTGTCCACCAGTCTACTTCAAATCCATACCACTTCCTCTCTCAGACACAGTCTGGTATCTTGGCTTTCTTCTAGATAAAAGACTAGCGTGGAACCCACATACCAGACTTAAAAGACAACAACTAAACAGACGATTCAGACAGCTATATAGACTAATGAATAGAAAATCTCAACTTTCAGTCCACAACAAACTACTAATCTACAAGACAATCCTGAAACCTATCTGGACCTACGGACTAGAGCTGTGGGGGTCAACAAAACCTTCTAACATTAAGCGCATTCAATCCTTTCAGTCTAAAGTCCTCCGAACAATAGTCGATGCTCCCTTCTATGTATCCAACAAAACCCTCCATAATGACCTTCATATCCCATTTGTTATTGACCTAATCCCAGACAAATTTTCCAGATTTCACCAGAAACTCACTCATCATCCAAATCCTGTAGCACAATCCCTATCTAGCTCCAGCCATCCCTACAATCCTCCGCGGAGGTTAAAACGACAGTGGCCCCGCAACCTTTTGTAAATATGTATATATTGGAGTACTGGCAATGGCCAGATTCTCCACTCATGTCCTGAGCGTCTGTTGCTCTAGTGCCCTCCATCAGTCTCCACTGGCTTGCAATACCAGTAGAGAAGCACTGGGATCTCCTGGGGCCTTGGCTTCCACATTTGGGGGACAAAGCATGACTCAGAATCCTCTGGGCGAATGTAAATATTGTATATAGGTATGAATGTGTTTTATATATTTCAATTTCATTTAGCTTTTCTCTTTTTTTTTTTATTTTTTTACCTATGTATGTTAAACTCTTTTTCTTTTATCTCTATTTTAGTTATCATTTGTATGTATATATTGTGTGAATGTTTAATGTAGCCCTAATATTAATGCCCTCCAATGCGGCAGAATGTATTAATTTTCAAATAAATAAAAAAAAGTTATTAACTGAGTTGACCATGCTTTATCAATAACTAATATAAACATAATAAAAATATGCACGAATTGCTCAAGCCATCCCCAGCTTGGCCACCTAGTTTCTATAGATCCATAAATATAAAATAACAAAAAAACTATAAATGTTTACCTTAGATATAATAGATCCTAAATCTTGGACATTATTTCCATTATTTCTCAATCTCAGATGTTTAATTGGACTAATATCATCACCAATTAAGGTAAAACAGTTCATAATAATGTCACTTTTTAATAAATATTGATGAAAAGTGCAGCAAACGTTTTGCAATTCATCAATTAATTCATGTCTATTTTCAAGAATATCTAGAGCCTTAATAGCAGCTGTTGTCAACAAAGGTGGCAATGAAGCTGAGAAACAATAACCTAAAATATTAATTAAACATAAATATTGAAAATTAAAAAAAATGAATCAATAAAACCAAGGTTTTAAAATAAAAATTTAAAAATAATTAATTAGTTACTAGTTCTATGCAGTTACCTATGTAAATTGACGGGGAAATGGGGAAAGATGAAAAACAAAATTTAAATGATTATAGACTATTGTTTTAAGAGGCAGAAAATATTCGAATATGTGTTGCAAATCTTTTCTTTGTCTACTTTGTGGTTTACAGGATTATTTTTTTCCAAATTAATGAATATAGCTTCCAAAAGTAGTCGTTTTTGGTGACTGGAAACTGTGGCAAGTATGGTTGGGTTTTCAAAATCAAATGCGCGGTTAAGGGTTATGGCCTGTTCCGCTAGTTTCAAGGAGAATGGGTTTCGTGTGGAGATGCTGTATTTGTGTTGATATTCGTTTTTTAAAATAGGTTTTGGTTTCTCCTATATAAGAATTGCAGTTTGGGCTAGAGCATGTGATATGGTACACAATATTTGATTGTTGTAGGAGCGGAACAGGATCTTTGAGTTTGGTGTATAGATTTCTAAATTTACTGTTATTTTTGAAAACTATTTGTAGATGGGGGAATTTGGAAGTTAAAGAGTTTTTGATTTTTTGAGATAGGACTGGGATGTATGGAATGGATCTGTATTGGTGAATTGTGGCGGGATACTGAGAGCAGTTTGTGGGAGACTGGTGAAGATGGGGTTTGGATTGATTTTTGATCAGGTTTTTTATAATGTGATCAGGAAAGGTGTTGGATTTCAGGATCTTGTGTAGTTTGGTTAGGTTATTGTCATGGAATTGTGGGTCGGTTAATGTTAGACTGCGGTGTATCAGGTTTTTAGCTACACTGATTTTTTGGTGGTAAGAGTGTTGAGAAAAATAGTTTAGGAGACGGCCGGAGTAGATAGGTTTGGTGTACCAATTGGTGGATAGGGTATTATCATTATTTCTGGAAATGAGATCAAGAAATGGGAGGGAATTATTTGATTCTATTTCAATGGTAAAACGGAGTCGAGGGTGGTATGAGTTAAATGCAGAAAGTATGTTTGGAATAGCTTGGGGGTTGAGGGTTAATAAAAGGTCATAAACATATTTTTTACTGAAAAAAATATCATTGGGAAACATAGGTAGTATGGAATCAATTAGGTTGTTAAGAACAATACTAGAGAGGTCTGGTGCAAGGCAATTACTCATCCCCAAGCCGGAAGTTTGATGAAAAAATTTATTTTGAACACATAGGTAGCCGGAGTTACAACATAAATTTTTAGTTTAAGTTAATTTAGTTTAAGTTAAAGTTAATTTAGTTTAGTTTAATTTTTAGTTTGTATAACTATTTACATATTTTATTTATAATATGTGTATTGTAATATTAGTTAAGATTCATGTACCATCAATCACTACTGTTTCACCTTCCAAAATTGTTGCTAAAGTTGGCTTAAGATTCCTCATGCTGAGACAGGGTGGCTACCAGACTGTTACAGTAAAATTCTCAGACTATTTCTTATTTAATGAAAGTTTTCCCTGATCAATATGTCAGGAGACACAAATGTCAAAAATGTATAGTTCATAACTATATATATATATAGTTTATAACTATAAATTATATTTTTACAGCTCACTAAATTTAGTGACCTAATTCCCAATTTAAATAATTATGTTGATAATATAAGCCCGATGGGTGAGGAGTTAGATAATGTTAACTGTTTGCTTATTTCACAAGAAATATATGTTTTCATAAAGCTCATAATCTATGCATCTCTTGAAGAAATTCATTATAATCAATTCGAAAGAGTATTAAATTTCCTATGCAGCTCATGTAGAAACATTAATATGTGAAAGGGTTAATTGGCTGTTAAAGCGCATGGAATCGAAGGCGTATTTCACTTGTAGTAGTATTTCACCTGCCGCACTCAACTTAAGTACTTTATATGTTTTCAATGCTTTTGATTTGGGTAATTTAATTATATTTATAAATGGACTAGAATGTACAAACAAAAAACACAACTTTTATATATTCTGTTGGCATGAGAGACTTCAACATTTATAACAATAATAGAAAAATAAGGACCAAAATGCACTTCAAAGTACGAGAGGTCAAACGACATTTCGCCTATTCGTATACTATAATATATTTATTAATTAAATTGACGGTGCATCAAACTTTTTACTGAGCTTGGGTATAATCATAAATATACGAAAAATTCTTGAGTTTTTGATTATTATGAATTCTGATGTCTCTCAAGCCAATAAAATATATAAAAGTTATGTAATTTGTTTATACATTATTGTCCTGTTAAATTAGCTAAATCACGAGCACTCAAAACATAAAAAATAATTAAGTTGAGAGCGGCATATACTATGAGTGAAATATGCCTTCGATTCCATGCGATTTAACAGCCGCTTACGCACATTTTAACGTGTCTACATGAGGTACATAGGAAATTTATCATACTTAGACTGTCGAGCAGTGCCAACGAAATAGGTTCCTTTCTATTCCACTAAAGCTGTGCTCAAACACTAGCAGTTGCTGTCGTGGGCAGTACCAGCAAAATAGCATCTTAAGGTGGTTATAAACGACATCCACTGTACATTAATTCCAATTTTTAAAAAAATTTCCCTGACTTCTCCCTGGCTTTTACCTGTATTGAAAATTCCCTGATCTTTCCCATTTTTCCAGGTCGGCTGCCACCCTGTGAGACTAAATATTGTTCATAATAATGGTAATGTTTATGATAATTCAATTTATTTTCACTAAATTTATTTAATATAAATTAATAACTTATTCTGTTACATAAATATTTTATGAAGAAGAAACAGTTACAAATATCACTATTACCTATTACTCTTTGATGTGGTATACTTCAATATTCAACAATACAATTAACAATGATAGAATAATGAGATAAAAACAATTTATTACAAAAGAAAAAAATTATCAAACAGTGGTCACACACCTAATCCAGAAAGTCTCTGGTGTTCAACAATAAATGATGACCCAACACAAAATCCACCAACGGAAGCAGCTGCCATTTCTAAACTAGTCATGATTAGATCGACATCAGTTACCTGGACAATTGAAATCACTAGATAATGTTTTAGTAAATCAAAAAGTAGGGATGAATAATGCAATGAATACACTTACGGGGATATTGAAGTGCTCTGTAACTCCTTTCCCATTCTTTCCTAATGTTCCAAAAGAAATACTTTCATCAACGAAAATGCGAAGCTTGTACTTTTTAGAAAGTGATACAAGCTCTGGCAAGTTACAAAGCCTTCCTGTTTTCATGTAGATTCCTTCTATTACAAGAAATCTTCTTGTTCTGGCAGCTTTCTTTGTGTTCTAATCATAAAACAAACAATTTTTAAAAATATAAAGTTTATGTTAATGATAATTAAAAATTGATTAATATTATCCTGCTTGACACATAGAGTGCTAGAGTTGTATATAATTCAATGGTTGTTTCACCTTCTGTCTTCAGCATGCTAATAGCATATTTAGATATGACGGTCTTGAAAATCTCATAAATAGAAATTAAAATAGATCAAAAAAACATACAGGCTAATGGGAACCATACGAGACTACACATAAAATTAAAAAAAAATTGTTAATAGAGGGGTGAAATCTATGAGACAAATATTTTTTTTCTTTTCAAACATAAAGGTAAATTTTTTTCTCTAAAGTAATCATTGTTATATATATGAAGAAATAAAAAATTTCAGGCTGAAGCCCCCCAAAATAAAATCCTAGATCCGCTAGTGCCGACCAGATTTCCTTCTGCAGGAGAGGAGATACGTATACAGATCATTTGAGCCTCTATCTGGCTTTGCAAGTGGCACCTACATATGAGGAAAGGAAATATTCAGGATATTTAGTATTTATTGAACTGTGTGGCACTGAATAGCAAATATGGCGCTATTCTGGATCCCCACGCAGAGAAATTAAAAATAGAAATTGTACAAAGAAAATCGACGAAGAAAGAGAGGACAGCCAAAGAAAAATAAAGACAGTGGTTTGGAGATAACAAAACAATAACAGAAGATCCTTAAATATAGTTATAGAAACTGTAGCTATCTAAGCAACATATAAAGGGCTTAAATAGCCATAAAAGGATTTCTACAACATACAATCGATCAAGTCTAAGTTTATTGAAGGCAAGATTTTGGTTATTATTGAACAATTTTTATTTAATTAGCTAATGTAATAAGTGTTTAGAGATAAACTTTGAAAATATTTCAGAATTAAAAAATACAATATGGAGAGGGTAAATAAAACAAACAGTTTTTTGCTATATAAAAAAATTGCAGTATAACAGAAATAAGGTTTACTCTTTTGAAACAATGAGAATTAATTATATATGCTGGATTTTTAAGCAAGGTGCGACTTATTAAACCTAAATTATAAAATACACAATAAAAGTCAGTCTAAATATGTTCTGTGTGTAATCTAAATGAGATAGAAAATAATTTTCATTTTATAGCTGTTTGTCCCGTACTCTCTCCAAATGAATTCCAGAAAAATGTTTTCATAAAGAATAGAATACTGATTATAGAAGAATTAATTTGAACAGCTGAATGGTAAAAACATACCTGCTTTAATAATGTATTGTGAATTGGCCTGGAATTATAGATATAGACTGGTTAGGGAGTTTAATTATAGTTGATGAAGTGAGGAATATATGTAAATAATGGATAAATTTGTGATGTGTTTATAATTTGTAGTTGGGGATGTGTGTTTGTGTGTAAGATATTTTTGTTTTTGTATTACAAAGAATTATATCTTATAATTATATTTGATTTAAATGTATACATGAAAATATTAATCAAAACTAATGTCGGCAACTGACTCTGGCTGATGGTCACAAAACAATGTCTCAATGTTTTGGTATAAAATTTTATGGTTGCAATTTATTATTTATTGAAATAAAACATTATTACTATCTTTATTATTCTTTCATTTGCAGATTCGAAGCTGAAGATGAGGGACAAGTCCAACCATCTACATGTATACATTTTTTTCCCCTCAAATATTTAAAAAATTTCTAATAATTCTGGCTGTGTCGAAGAGAACTATTTGCTGAGCATCTCTTAACAGACCAATGAGCAATTCCAGGCCATCCATACCTCCTGCATTTGATTTTGGGATTAGACCATTTGTGGATAATATAATCATTATAATGAATATTTACTAGAGTCAGTCAACCACCAATAATAATATCTAGTAGTAAACTTTAGACGAACATTAAATAAGTGTATAACATTAAAACTGACAAGCTAATAAAATCTGTTAATGAGAAGTGCAACTATTGTAAGGAATATAAAATAAATTGAGCAACTAAATTTGCAAGGTGACATATCCTTCAATACAATTATTTTCTTTCTTTCATACATTTTGGTTATCTTGTCCCAACCTTAGGTACTTTTACTTTTTTTAAGGAATTAAAACAGTCTCATTTTGAAATGAACCATTGAATGGAACTGTTTTAGCTCCATGAAAAAGTGAAAGTAAGTGATGATGGCATGAGTTAGCCGAAACATAATAAAGAAGGAATAAAAAGTGTGGACAATTTTATGCAGCCTAGTAAATTTAATTAGCAAATGTTGCTTCACCTAAAAAATATATATATACTAAAAATTTGTAAAATTAATGAAATATTCCAAAATTCTATGAACAAAATATCATTAGACCTTCTAACCTTTGAATCCAACTGAGCTTGCTTTAATAATAATTCTTCTAGATCTTTCATGTCGTTATGTTTAAAATATTTAATTTCACTTCGTGAAGCATCTAAACCCTTCTGAATGGCAAAATTTACTTCTTCATCACTGCAAACACAAGAAACCAATAATGACTATGGTCAAATTTCATATATAACTATACATGTATAGTTATGTAAATATAATCTATTGTTCCTGCAAAGAATTTATCAAACATATCATCAATAATATTCAACTATGATAAATATAAAGAAAAAAAAATGTCATCTGACAGTAACTGATAAATGTACACACAGATAGAAGGTAGAGTAATCTTGGCCTATTTTCTTATAAGAGAGACTGAGTAATATTTAATTTATTTGTTTTAAGAATGTGGATATAATAATCATAACAATTTATAACTGGCTCTTATTTTAGATGTTGCATAATTGAAATGATGTTGGCCAACTTTTTAAGATTTATCAAAAAACTTTAATTTATAACAAAGATATACTATATATTAGGAAGAACGGAAATTAATGTTTTTGTCTCTATTGCCTTTCTCTGTTTGATTGTCATTTCTTATCTTATTGTGTACATCAAAATCGTGACAAAGACATTTTAAGGTTGTAGTGACTTATTTAGAAGTAAATAATTAAATTAATTTTTTTATTTTGGGTGAAATAGTTAGCCAAATATCAGAAGAGGTACATACTCAGCATTGCATGCTTTTTGAGTTTCGCAAGAGTAGTAATACGACAGTTGCTACAAAAAACATTTTCGATATTTATGCAAATGCATTAGACGTTCGTAAATGCCAAAGGTGGTTTTCCAAGTGCAAATCCGATAATTTTGATTTTTCGGACTTGTATCAATCAGGGAGACCAACAACGTTAGAAAATGACGTTCAGGGCAGAAGTGGAAGCAAATCCATGTCAGAAAATTGAGGAATAGTCAAACAATCTTAACCAACCGTGGTCGACCATCCAAGAACATTTGCAGCAGATTGGGAAACTACCACATGTAACTTAATGCTTCAACGGCACAATACAGACGCGTTTTTTTATTGCTTGATAACTGGAGATGAAAACTGGGTCCTTTATGATAATCCAAAACACAAGAGGCAGTGGCTCTCTCCAAATGAATAGCCACGAAGTACTGCTAAGCCAGGTTTACACTCCAAAAATTCTTTTGTAAGTTTGGAGGAGTATTCGGGGCGTTATTAATTTTGAAGTGCTGAAACCTGGGCAAAATGTGAATGCAGACCTTTACTGTGAACAATCGGATTGTAAATCAATCTTTAATTGAAAAGTGATCAGCGATTGTCAGCAGAAAAAGTGTTATTCTGCAACATGATAATACAAGATTGCACTGCACAAGATGAACCCTTAATAAATTAATGAATTGGTGTGGGCGGTACTGCCTCACCCACCATACTCCCCAGATGTTGCACCATTGGATTTCCATTTATTCCGATCGCTTTAACACTTTTTAAGTGACAAAAGATATGCCAATTTGAATGATATCCAAAATGCCATCTCTAAATATTTTGCTCAAAAAGAAATTGATTCTTATCGATCCGACATTTAATGTTAATTTAATTTAGACTTAATGATAATGATTCCATATTAGAGCATAAATGCACTAACTTATAAGACAACAAATTTTAAATTTGTACATATTATTTCTAAATAAAAATTATACAGAATTATCAAAAAGCATACTAAATAAATTTTTAAAAAATCAGAAAAAATTACACAAAAATAACATCGCCTCGTTTCGCATAGGCAGGAATCGCACTGGAAATAGTTGAAAATCCATACGCATAAACAACAGCTTCTTCTAAATCCATAAATTTTGCAAGGCGTTCCTCCAATTCCAAATGAACATCTATAACAATGTTATAATTGAAGAGTCTTTATATGTTACATATAATACAAAAGGAATAATAAATTTGTTTCATAATTCACGTTTGTTTCAATTTTCTGCACTTTCTGTGTTTTTACATCAATAGATAAGATCAGAATTCAGGAAAATGTGAAAATAAAAAATTGCTACACTAACAGCATACTCAGTGACTTTTTGTTATAAACTGACAATACGCTAATTTATAAAAATTAGGCTGAAATACAAACTCAGTGCAATGTATTTTTCAAAGTATACCACTTTACTTTTATAATTTGTGGAGCAGATGATATAGAAATGCTTACTAATGTGTTTTAAAATTGGTGTAACCAACATTCGCTTGTTAGCAATATGTACTTAACTAAATTGAAAAGCATGAATATTAATAATGTAGGAATTTATGGCTTTTAAATTTGTATATTAAGTCCAATTAAAACTCGTCTGAATGATGATTTATACTCAATTCTTCAGCCACATACATCAAATCTTACCTCCATCAACACAAACAAAAAAAAAAAAAAAAAAAAAAAAAACACTACATAGGATTATCTATGATATATAAATGTCATATTTACAAACATTTGTAGAAAGAAAACGCTTCTTTAATTTTTGAATAAATACTTTTTTTTTAAATAGTTCTATAATTTCCCATTATGTTTTATATTTATTTCAAATATTGTGGTATTTTGCGTTTATGAAAAAAAAAAAACATAAATCAACTTCTCAAATTACATTTTATTTGTTTTAGAATAAATAAAATAGCAAATGAACCTTTCTCTCAATTTTTAAATTTATTAATATTAATAAATTAATAGTCTATTATACCTTAAAGTATTTATTTCATATAGAATGGTAAATAATAATCTTAAAATGTAAATTAACAAGGGCTTTTCAAGGGGAGGGGTAATATCGGTCTAGTGGTTACGTCAGAGCTCGATTCCTCTCCACCATTTTCCCTCAACAATATAAGTTTCATTCAGCAGCATCATTTTAATAGTGTTGAACAAGTTGAGTTTTATGCCTATAAACTACAATTTGCAGACAGCATCAGTTTTCTGTTACCATAGAAAGAAAACTGTTGTTGCGTCACATTGAATGCTAGTCAAAGCTTACGGTGAGCATACTCTTAGTAAATAAAAATGCTTTTAGGAATGTGGAAGATCACCAAAAAAGTTTAAGGACAACGAATTGCAAGCATTGTTTAATAAGGACGATACCCGAACTCGACACAGCTCGCAGATCAATTGAATGTAATACAAAAAGCTACTACCATACATTTGAAAGCTATTGAAAAGATCCAGAAGATAAGAAAATGGGTTCCACATGAACCAAATGAATCACAGCAAGAATACCTAAAAACCACCTACTGCTCGCCAGGTATGCCTAGTAAAATAAAGTCAAAATGTGATAGGTGATGAAAAGTGGATTTATTTTGAGAATCCTAAGTTCCAAAGATCATATATAACTTGAGGCAAACCATCAACATCAATTGCAAGAACAAGTCACTATGGAAAGAAGACAATGCTATGTGTATAGAGAGATCAGAAAAGTGTAATCTATAATGAGCAGCTAAAACCTAGTGAAACCATTAATAATGAGCACTATCGACAACAAATGATTGATTAGAATCAAGTATTGCATGAAACACGACCAGAATATAAAAAAAGACAAAATAAAGTGATTTTTCTTCACGATAATGCACCATCACACACAGTAAAAACCAGTGAAGGATACAATTGAGGGGTTCAGTTAGGAAATATTAGTGCATGTGGCTTCCCACCACATTTGGCTCTGTCCAAATACTATTTATTTGCAATGATAGGGAACGCACATCAGCAGTGTAATATACATAAAAATATACAAAAATGGTTTGATGATTGGTTCGTCACAAAAGAGCAACAGTTTTTCAGGCATGGCATTCATGAATTGTCAGAGAGAGAGAGAAAATATACATAGCCAGTGATGGACAATATTTTGTAACATTATTACGTAATAAAGATGTATTTGCTATAAAAAAATTCTGATTTAATATTTACTCACTTGGTATTAATTTTTAACAAAAAGTTACATTAAATGACAAATAAACACTAATTGGGCTTGATTACATATAAAATCTATCTTAAATGAATCACCTGGTTCTAATATTTCCTCTTAAGCAAAATGAATTGATTTGACAAAACTTTTAATTAAATGTATTTTTTTTTTAATTCTTTATTTGGAATGCTCTATAGGTAAAAAATTCAATTTCTGAAATAACCGAAAAACAATTGAAAATAAAGATTGAAGTCATATCAGAAGTGATTGAAAACAAAATTTAACTTTCTATTCAAGTCCTATTTTATTTTTGTATGGGACACAATCGCGCATGATTCATTAATATTCATCTTATCCATCAATTAATTATAATTACAATTTGTATAAAAGAAGTATTAATTAGAAACCCTTCTAATATGATATTACCTTTTGATCAATGTTTCAGAAACATCAGTTTGAAAGAGAATAATTTATTTTTAAAAAACTATTATATGAAATAAAACATTACCAACAGTTCCAAAAAAGCCTCTTGGTCCACAAGAGCCAATACCATATTTTCTAATGGACTCTATGGCGCTACTTTCAATAATCTTTTCTTCATTTAAGCCCAAGAAATCATGAGAAGACAGATTTAAACAATTAATACCATTAACATTTATATATTTTCCAATCTGAAAACATAAATAATCAGAAATTAATTTTAAAACATTAATATTTTATTTGGTACTAACTGCTTGAAAGAAAGTGAAATACCTTCCTCATTCCAAATACCTCTATTAGAAACACATCTCACTGTTTTTAATTTCACTTACCTATATATGTAATATATAGTAAGGGAAGTATTGTGATCATGAAAATTTTCAAGTTCCGGTTTTTAACGGAAATATACGTTTTGAGGTCCCCTGAGTCCAAATAACCAAGTCCTGCAAAATGATGGGTGTGTGTGTGTATGTATGTGAACAGCCAAGCTCAAAAATGAAGTCATACGAAACTGGAATTGCGTATTTAAGGTTTTCATATGCCTGGGATGTTACAGCAACTTTTTTGACAAAATTGGCTAGCCGGAAAATATTGTGTGATGTGCGCACTGCACCAGATATTTTATTGTAGCAATGCTGATCATTCTTATGAAAATTTCACCCATAAAAAATGATCTTAGAAAATTTTTAGTCAGTTGTGTTAAATTTGTATCACAATTAATTCTGGCCATAAAATTGGTTAGATATAGAAAAATAGTCAAGAGTCTAGAGTTCTAACATAGGAAAGGGTAGAGGAGTCAGCCTACTTTGCTATAAATTAATAAATAAGTTAATGTGGACCAACAGATTTTAATTTGGGGAAAAAAATGCCTTTCAGCAAAGAAAAAGGAGGATTCAGTCTATGTAATACATTAGAAATATTTAAAATGAAATAATTTGACAAAGCACCAATTTTAATATAAATTGCTTAGAAATAATATTTTGTAATATTAAGTAATTTAGTAGAAAAGTTCATTGTCGATAAATCGTTTAATTATATGTAAAAAAAATAAAAATGATATTATGTAATTTATAAACAAATAAATGCTTCTATCTATCTATCTATTAAGTAATTTACTTATACACTATATTTTAAGAAAACAAAATACTAGGTACAGTTGGTTCTCAATAATTTGAACCTTGGTAATTCGAATTTTTCGATAATTCAAACTCTACAGCTGTTAACTTCGGTACTTTGAAAAAATGCTGTATTTCGATAGCTCCATAACTCAAAATCCCTTTCGTAACAAGAGGGGGGACATTCTATAATTCAAACTATATCACTTCTCTTTATAATTAGAAATTTTCCTGGTAAATTTTTTTATATGAGGCTATGTACATACAAAAATTTATGTAAGCCCATATAAAGATTACTCAAGACCTCCAATCATCCATAGACAAACAGAAAATCTCCACCATAGTCCTTTTCGATTCCGCCAATCATAATATCCTCATTTCCAAACTCCAAAGTCTGCCCATATCTAATAGCGTTCTGAAATGGTTCCTCTCTTTTTTTTATCCCATCGCTCCCAGACAGTTTTTATTCCAGACAAATCACCTTACTAGTCCCTTCACTTAACACGAGGTGTTCCTCAGGATTCCTCAATCTGTCCGACTCTGATCTCCATTTATATTAGTGACTTTCCTAACTCCATTTGTCATTCCCACTATCACTTATATGCAGACGATCTACAAATTTACTGATCGTTCCAACCATCTGAGATGCCCGAGGCTACCCAAAAACTACAAGAGGATATTGACTGTATCAATAGGTGCGCGGAAAAAAATAAACTGAAGCTGAACACAGATAAAACTAAGGCAATCCTCATTGGTTCGAAGCACCTCATTAGTTCCTTTCCTTTCTCTCCTTTACTTTACCTCAATAACCGTCCCATCCATTTCTTTCCTTACAGTCAAAAATCTCGGAGTGATCTTTGATCAGAATCTCTCTTGGAACAACCACATTTCCCAGATTCCACGTAAATCCATAACTATCCTTAAACAATTCCTTCGATTCTGTGATTCCATTCCAAAAAAACCCAGACAGCTCAATGTAACATCCCTTGTTTTTCCCCACTTTGACTACGGTTGCTTGGTGTATGGATGGCTGTGCACAGGACTGGAGGCAAGACTGAAGAAACTTATGAATTGCTTCATAAAATTCATCTTTGGGATTCCCAAGCGTTCTCATGCTTCTTGTTGTTACACCGAGTTTAAGTGGCTTTATCCTACTTACCGACAGCAATTCCTTCATGGCGTTTTTCTTTTCTAAGTCCTCAGAACTAAAAACCCTCCCTATATCTTAGAACTCCTTAATTTATGCTCCTCTATCCACTCTCTCAATACCCGTTCATGATTATACAAAAATCCATCGTCTTATTGAAATGGTAAAATTCTAGCTAGCTAGCCGATATGGAACATTTATACCAATTTTCATCAGAAATAAAGCTTGCCAGTGGACAGAAATGAAAGCAGTTATGCTTTTCAGTAGTATATTTTGTAATTTTTTTTTTTTAAATTAACTACTGCCAAAAAAAAAAGTATTTATGTTTTAAAATAATAGGGTAAACACAGGCTATGTTCATAGTTTAGGAAAGTTGTTTGATGTAAAAAGAGTCATCGCCTACACATTTTAAATTACAGTAGGTATACTACTTTTTTATTACCTTGCCCTCAGTTACTCTCTTATCGTAACCTCGGTGACTTTTAGGAGCAGGTTTAACTAATGGAAAAGGCTGCCATTTGCTTATCAGTTCAGCTTCTTCCTGAATAAAAAAAGAATAACTTGATTAATATTACAAAATGATGAATAAATACATTTATATATATTAGGATCTTGAATAAGTTTTTGCTATTTCCTAACATATGGCAGCACCAGTACATACTATGTACGTTTCGTTTTAGATGGTGAAGCAATTTTCCCAGAACTAATGACAGGCTTGGATTTCGGTGAATGTTAGTTTTCGGCAGAGTGAATAACTTTTTTTTTTGTAGTTACAAAAAATGCAGAGTTATTAGATAATTTTAAACTGTTTTAAATGTCCATACTAAATGAGAATCATATATAGGTTTGACATCGACCGATATATAAACACAAAAGTACCCTTAAATTTAATTCAATAACATTTACCGCTTTATCAAACCACATTAAAAATTATAGACATGAAATGGATTTTGAAAATATTAATACTTCATAAATCAAACTATAGATCAAATCTAAAAAATTTAGACTCCATCTGTGTAGCATTAAACCAAAAAAGGTGTTAAATTCAAAACAGGAAGCTGTCCACATCCCACAACACTATTGACATATAATAGCCTTTCATAAATATTTAAATAAGATAGGGTAACTTTAGTTCCCAAATAGTTCAGATAATATAGAGGGTGCTGACAGAAAATCCTCAGCACTCATCAAGATCACGTTCGACTAAGAGGAGTCCTATTCTCGGAGACATCAGTATTTAAAAAATGTTATTCAATTATTTATTTATTTAAACAAAAAAATTATAACCTAAAATCCTTTCAGAGATGATATGAGACAAAGAACAAGACCACTGTTCCAATCATTTATGTTTTATCAATAGACAAAAATAGAAAAAGGTACGGCATGTGATAATAATTGCATGACAATTAAAAATTAGATAATACATGAATTTTTAATATCATTAATGAATTTATTATTTTATTAATGTATCCTATTTGATGTGATATAATTATAGAAATGAATATGGTGTATGGACACCAAAAGCTACTCTGCAAATAAAGTTGTGAAAATATTATAGAGACTGCCAATGGTAAAAAAATCCTGATCTACTAATGTCGAGTTTTGTGCCAAGTAAAGAGTATTTGTAAGGTGATTTATTGCACTATTTAATTTAAACGAAATCTGCAGCTGAAACACACAGAATTCTTGTTGAGACATATAGTGAGCATGCTCTGTCAGATGCATGTAGAGACCGATTTCAGTGCATCAAAAATAAGAATTTTAATCTTTGAGATAAAAACAGCACTGGGGCACCAAAAAAGTTTGAAGAATTGGAGAAATTACCTAATGAAGACTCATGCCAGACACTAACTGACGGTTTCGGAACGTTTGAAAGCCTTAGGAATGATCCAGAAGCAAGTACATTGAGTGCCATATGAGCTGAAGCCAAGAGATATTGAACAACATTTTATCACATGTGAACTGTTACTTTACTGGCAGAAAAAGAAATGTTTTTTGCATTGTATTGTCACTAGCAATGAAAAATGGATACAGTTCAACAGTCCTAAACTTAAAAAAATCATGGAGTAAGGTAGGAAATGCTTAAATGGTAAGTCCTGACCCACCCACCATATTCACCACTAGTAGCCCCTTCCAATCATCACTTCTTTCATTCCATGACACATGGTCTGGCTGAGCAGCACTTTCATTCTTATGAATATAGCAAAAAAATGATTCGGTAGATTCTTGGATAGCTTTAAAAGATGAGTCGTTTTTCTCACATGGAATTCATATGCTGCCATTAAGATGGGAATTCCAGTGGACTAATCACTCAAAGTGATGGACAGTACTTTGAGTGACATGTTTTTTACCACTTAATTTAAATAAAGCATTAATTTTAACAAAAAAAAACCAGCAAGAACTTATTCAAAATTCTTATATAAATACACAAACACAATTTAATAAACAATTAACACACAGTATCAGATATGGATTGATTCTCACAGACCAGATGATCTAATAGAAAAATACTGGAAGGAAAAGTTGTTTATTTTTAATAACTTCACCAACCTTGACTAATCCTTAAGGTGGATAGATGGTGTTTGTTTAAGAGGGTATATATTTGCAGATAATTGCTGGCATGATCATTATCTATTTCTAAATGGCTCTATACATACCAAAGGAAATTAATGTGATTAATTAAAAGTGATGTTGAAGAAATATCATGGCATTAAGATGTTATTCTTGGTGCTAATTCTTTCAAATGATAACAATAAGGGACAACAGGATGGATGTCCATGCCATTATTCAGGGAAGCCAAGGAAGTTGTTTGAGAAAGTTTCAAGACATGTTATAGCACTATTATCTTCCAGAACAACAAATCATGAAAAATCTTAATGTTAGAAGCAATTAGATATATTTATTTTTTTTTGTAATGTAAACCATCCATGAATATTTTTATACTTTATAGTTGTAATAATTATTGAAGTCAATGTTTGGATTGTTAAATTAATAAAAGTTTTGAATTTATACAGTCAATTTCCATCTCAGACTTGCGATAAAACCATTTTAGGAATTACTTGTTTGTATTTTTTAGAAAAAATAATAATGATATTGAGAATACAAGATTTTAAAATAGTGTAAATCTTTCAATTTTGATTATTATGAAAATCGTTTTGTGGGCTATTGTTTAGCCCAATTACTCAATGCTAAATTACTCAAATACATTTATGATGAATGTAAATAAGAGTATTAAAAAGTAAGTGTTATCTCCAATTCACAAGTATTTGTTAAATGTTTTACATTAAATTATAATGTACAATAGTGCTGGGGGAAATGATATAAGTAGATCTACAACTTTTCTGTTAGGTATTTTTTTAATTTGATCATCCATTCAGTCACACCAATCATTAGGGCTGATTTGTCGGATATCCTGTATAACAGATAGCTTCCTTTTTTTTTCTACTTAATAGATCTTCATATATACAAGTATATGTAAATATCAATTCATAAATTTAATAAGTATATAAATGCAGCAATGAATAATACTAGTAGGCCATTGCGAAAAATTCGCACAGCATGTGTTTTGAAATGCCAAATTAATAAGAAAATAAAATAATGCAATGTGTCATAAGATAAAGAAATCAATTGTTACTTTATCAATAAAAATAATCGACAAAGGAAACCAAAATTAATTGAAATCTTTATTAATGTTTGGAACCAACATGTTTACAAATTTCAATAAGCTGTTTCTTTGCTAAAAATTGTCCTATTTTGATAATTTTTTTTCCTATTGTAGGGAATTTAGTAATCTTTTATATAATTATGGGCATAACCTAGGGAAAAGTTATGTATATTTTTTTAGTTATTCGCAAATAAAGTGTGTTTTCTTTCATAACTTATTTGCCTGACTTTTCTGGGTGATTGGACTATTTTGCCCGCCTGAAGGAGAAGGAAGCCTTAGAAATTGGTGGCTCAATCTTGAGATTGGGTGAAGAATTAACGATGATATGGCTTTCATGATAAATAATATAAACTCCTCGCTTGATCATAGAGACCTAAAGTCGACGAAATGAGAAATGTATTTAATGACAATACTACAATTAATGTAAAGTTGTGTGGATGCGAACCCTATGCCTTGCGTTATCTTGAAAATGGTACATTTTTGGGCTTAAAAACGCTAGATCCGATAGTTCCGGAGGATAGGGTCTCGCTGTACGCATCAAAATCTTCAAGATCCAATATGTCCCACATCGATCTACAGAACTACCACCGTTCCAGTATTGAAGCCTAGCAAAATGTTTGTATTGACTTTATTTATTTTAGAAAGAAAAACAAAAGTGGAGAATACGATTCGCTAACCCCCCGTGAAATTCTGAATCGAATGGTACCTCATTCATGGTATTTGAGCATGACAGGAGCTTGTATTTGTTACAAAACCGATTTCGAGCCTTACTGTAATAATATATGTGGGGATTTATAATTATAATAATGATCCCAATAACTGAATCCTGTGGGCACTGAAAAGTATTTAAACTTGAAATAAACAAAAAACATTGAAGTTTAACCATTTTTAAAATAATGGAATAACATTACGAATGAACAACTAATAGAAGGAAGAATAAATTCATAAGAGAGGAATATTCTTTCATTAAATCAAATATTGAGGGAGGGGGGTGTTACTGTGTTTAAGTTTGTTAAAAAAACAGGCTTGAATCTGAGCCCGAAACAGGTTTATATTTCAAGTGATATTTTGTTCAAAAAGAACAAATCTTGACCTTCTTACTCCAGGTAGAATAAATTGTTTTTCCTGCCTTTATTGGTAGTGAGTGATGATAAACAAAATTTAATTAATATTTCAGAGTCCTATGGCAAAGTACATGATATCGAACTGACCATCATTTGTATAGTTATTATTTTTGACTATAGGCTATGATTATTTCTCAGTCCTATATTTTTTCTACCAATCTGAATGTGATAATATCAACTAGACTGCAATAAAAAAAATGAATATAACAAGCTTACATTCACATTGATATGGTCAAACCTTATATATCATTCAATCCTCACTATATAGATCATTTTATGTTTACTGTGACCTGTATTCTTCAAATATATTAGTTTTGTGAACCAATAGACCAACTACAAAGATCTGATCTAAGTGTTGAAGCAGAAATACAAAGATTATGTTTTAATAGTATACAGTGAATAATTTTGTTATGATTGATGTTACATAGTGTATCATTTACACTATGTAGGCTGCCTTTCAAAACTTCTTCTTATCATTCATATACATCATAAAACATTTTTATGCATTTTAAGAAATCAAGGATAACAATAACAATCATTCAAGATAAATGATATATAATATAAGACCCCTTTTTAGCAATGAGAAGTAGCTATAATTAAACTGATCACATGAATACTGTTGATACCTAGAGGTGGATCCACGTGCTCTTATTTTCTCTTAAAGTATTGGATGTCTGCCATTTTATCGTAAAACAAAACCTTATTGTTGTTGAGCCTACAATAATGCTATATTATATTGCTGCAAGAAGCTAAAAAAAACAACAACAAGAACAAAGACTATCACTTCAGTTAGGATACTTAAATTTTGTTTAATGAGCATATATTATATAACTATTGATAAGAATAGGTAACTAATTGGGGTAATCAGTTTTTCAGCAAGACAATTACACTCTTTAAAAAAATCTATTTAACTAATAATTATTTCAATAATTCAAAACCAACAAAAGTATATAAAAGTAAAGAAAAAAAGGAAATAATGGAAACAAATAACAGAAATTATTAGATTATGAAAGAATCGTATTAATTTTACGAAAGAAAACATGCAAATGTATTTATTTTTATTACATGCATGTATACAGTCCCAACATACAGTGTGAAAATAAATTGCAGTGGTATAACCTAATTTTAATTATTAATAATGCTTAAAAGAATAAAATAAATTTACTCTAACTAAATTGACATGTTCAATCTAATGCTTATGTTATTAAATTGTTTTATACCTCCTGCGTCAATTTACACTTTCCATTTGGATCCTTTTTCTTGAAGATTATCCAAAGTATTAGCAATGCAAGCATTATTTGAAGATACACATAGATACTTGCAACCTAGAAGGGAAACAAAATTAATAAATATAAAAATCATAATCCATTGGCACTATCATTTCAGAAAAAATAACCAAGGTCATTTATTAAGAAATAAAACTATGGTATATATAATAATAATGACTATATTCTGCAATCTGCTAAATAATAATTTATTAAAAAGAATTAAGAACATGTTATTTAATTTTCAGGTTTATTTATTTAATTATCTATGAAAGCTACCAGCAAACTAGATAATTTAAATGTGCTAACAGCCTAAAACTGATAGAGAGTACTATGATGCAAGAAGAAGACAAAAGGACCATTTACATAATGAGGCTTTTCTGTCAGGACAGAATTGTCATGTGTGATAATGACAGTGCCATTGTTTACGCAAAGACATCAAATCTGGTACCAGTATGAAAATGGTGGATATAGAACAGTTAATGTCATGTTTACTTTATTAAAGGCATACAGACATGTATCATTTATAAAACCTGCTTGTGAGTATAGGCCTCCTCAACTTTATTAAAGGCAATCCTATAAATGATAATAAATGGATCTAGAACTTAATTTCATTAACTTATTTTATATAGATTAAATCAGTAAAAATAAATCTACATACCAAATTAAAAAATTTAACATACATGGTAATAAAATAAAATTATAATTGTGATCAACACAATCCCAAGCAAATATAAAATCTTGACAACTTTTAATAAGCAATACTATAAAATTAACATTGTAATATTTCTGCTTTTTCATACAAATTTAGTATATAGTGAGTTTTTGTAAAAGATATTTGACTTCAGAGAGATTAACTGCTTTAAGTGCTAAATAGAACGGGATTGGTGAAAAGAGGACGTTTGCGATTTGGGTAGGATGGGACTTCAAATGAGGAGTGAATATATAGCAGTGCTGGCCTTAAACATTTGACGCCCTGGCCAATGACGTCATCTCTAATTCCTCCAAAAATATAAATTTATTTCTTAAGTTGTTTAATATTATGTGATATCTCAATTTTATTGCATTCAACATTTCTCTAATACAGTTGTTTTATTGGTAGGCTAAAATTAATTGTTTTCATACATTTTGTATCTTTTATTACAAGTGGCAAGCACCCCTAAAGATAGGCCGGCAGTCCCGGTTGCGGCACCCTATACAGGAAAGATATTTGGTGAAGTCCTTAGATTTTTTTCTTCATCAAACATTACCCAGGAGCCATAACCTCGTAAAAGGAACAATTGTGGGATTTTTTAAATGGGAAATATGATTTTTAGAATTTTAGATTTTAGAATATTTTTGGTGAGATTCCACAGAGAATTTTCCTGAACTGAAAGGAAGGTAAGGTAGAAGTTGAAGAATCAGGATCTGAAGGTGGTCAATCCCCCTTTAATTGTCTTTAGTAATAATTATAGGAGTAACATTCGTTGGGGTGTCTGTAACATTCTCATAATGATCTGGGATGGAGTTTGATAAGTAGTAGGTCAAGGAGGTATTTAGGTAAATAATTTAAATTATTGACTAAAGAAAATTCATTAAGATTTATTAAATAATTGAATAGTTTGTTGTTGATTTATACATAAATTTCGAAGGACTGTGCTACAGAAACTTTCACCTAATATTTTTAAAACAATTGAACTTAGCTTTCAAAATAATGGATTATCTTTATAAGATATTTTTGGTACAAGTGTACAAGTTTTGCTTTGATGGATGGCACAAGAAATCTCATTATCGCAGTATAAATGGAAACTGGAGAATGGCCGAATCTGTCCAAAAGTAGATGGAGGTGATGAACTATTTAGTAAGACCCCAAAATTAACTGAAAAGGACCCCTTGAGGGCATGTTTATTCCTTTTGAAGCGAGTGCGAGTGTAAAGCAAAAAATTAATTAAATCTAATTATAACTGCAATGATAAGCACGAGTTGGGAGTTTGCGGATGTCATAAATCAAATCCAAATTAAGGGAGATTTTACCATAACACATTGTCAATACTCAGCCATTCTTAGAAATTCCATTCATAGTTTGAGCTCTTGACTCAAGAAAATGGAGCAATATAGGTATAATAGTATCTAATTCATGAATATAATGTTTATCAAAATCATTGCTAAAATAGTTGTAAATAGTTGGCAAATAAATCCTTTCGGTTTATTTTTATGTCACTATGATACAATTCTTATCTGATGAATTAATCCCAAAGGTGGATTTTTTATCCTGTTTGTAATATGTAGGCATTAAATAAAAAAACATTCATACGGCTTTGAAAAGCAATAAAATCAGCTTGCCAACGGATATAATAACATCGAATTTGGAGAACATCCTGAAGAGTTATGAATAATCGGAAGGGTATTGTATTGCACCAATGCTAAGCCCACACCTCATTGCTCACTCGCAATAAATTATTAAGCCTTGGATGGGATCTTTTGCCGAAATCTTCCTATTCACTAGACATAGCTCCATATGACTACCACTTATTCCGCTCATTGCAGAACTCTATGAATGGAAAGAAATTCCAAAAGAAAGAGGATATCAAAAACCACTTGGATCAGTTTTGTAACAATAAACTCCGGACATTCTATTAACATAGCATTATGCAGTTGGTGGAAACATGGGAAAAAGTCATATTAAATAATGCTCAATACATTGTAGAGTAAAATAAATTTCATGTCTATAATACATTGAGTTTTATTTCATCCTGAAAAACCGAAAGGACTTATTTGCCAACCCAATAGAAAGATTAAAATTTTGACTGTTATATATTTATTTTAATAAAAATCAAACAAAGAAGAGGAGTAATTTTCACACCAATTATAAATATAGATACATTGCATATTGCCATAAAATTATTTTGTAATATAAATATTGAAGTAAAAAAAAAATGATGTAGTGTCTAGTAAATTCATATACACCAAACTTGAGATGAAAAAAAATACTAAAGGGTACATTATATAGATGTATATGAAACAGGTAAAAATAAGGGTAACTCAACACTTACATCGTTAAAAATAAACGTAAACGGGATAAAAACAAAACTCATTGCCGTCATGGCTGTAAAATAAAATAATACACCAGGACAATAATAAACCAAATGTACTTCGGGATACAAGTTAACTTAAAACAGGGACCATAAAAAGGGTTATAATTATTTATCTTAGAAAGACTTTAAACTGCCGGATTGTAAACCATATCAATAGATAACGTTACGTTCAAACTAATGGAACAACAACTGTAACAAAGAAATATTATTTATTACATTCGTAATAAAAGAAGGAGGATAGTTTTCATAATTATTTATCCAGTTAGGATATTGTTACGTGAAAGAAATATATACCTTATTCCCTTTAATAAAAGATCAGAAACATTTATTTGTGAAAGAATATTCTTTAAAGTTCATTATTAAATTATTATCTCAGGTGACTTGGTTTCCAGATCTAGGATCGCAAATTGTTCCACAATAGTAACTTTGTTAAAATGCAAGATACAAGTTAAAATAATAACCCAAAAAAACAAATGTACGTGCTTGTTTTGTGTATTTATTTTCTGGGATCAACCGCCACCTATTTTCGTTACAAAAATAGATAATTTTATGTCTTTCGGGCAAGAAATTTCCGACCTGATAGGTCAGCCAAACTTTCGTTGCTTCTCCAGAGTTAATGGTGTTAAAATTAATACAAACTCTTAAGAGAATTAAAAAAAGCTCATTTATCATTTAACATCTAGAAACTATGACTTCCACTGTTACCAGCTCAAAGAAGAAAAAACATACAGAATGGTCTTAAGAGGACTGCATCCAACTACTTCTATAGCTGCTATCAAAATACTCCTAGAAGAGAAAGGGCAGAAATATTTCATCAGTGCTGCATCCAAGAGATTGATATCCACTGTCATTATGTTTTGTTAACCTGGAACCAACCAGAAACAATATTGAAATATTTGAAGTAACAAGACTGGTATACTCAACAGTACGTTTTGAGGAGCCTAGGTAATAACCCATAATACTGCAATGAACTAAATGCCAAAACCCGGGACACAAAATGACATACCATCATCAGGCCAGATGCGTGAAATGCGCTGGCCTACACCCGTCTAACACAAGCCAAAAACCAAGGCAAGAGCCTGCAACATGTGCTCTTTGTGGCGAAGCTCACTCTGCGAGTTATAGAGGCTACGAAGTCTATAAATATCTCCGCAAGCAGAGATCGTACAACTTAGCGGTGAAAAGCGGTAGACCAAACCAGAAAAATTACACTGAGGTTCCTGAAGTTGAAAATCAGAAACTCTTTCCAGAATTGCTGAAATCGTCGAAGCAACTCAGCAAACAACCTCTCTCTATCTTTTCACCTCTCTATCATTTACTTGAGTAATTGCCCAACACTGCTGTATAGGTAAATGTTTCTAACTGAATTAGGTTCTGATGGCTAAATAGCATTTTACGTAAAATTTTTGATCTGCCGTGCTGCGTGTTGGTCAGAATAAGAACAAACCAACTTAAATAAAACCAACGTTTCGGTACGAAGTATGGTCTTTTTCCATGGCTACATACAAGATGAAATAAATATAACAATAACAAAAACATTACATATGAATGTAAGATAAAAAGAAAATGTAAAATAAATCATGAATTTAGTATTTTTTTTAGTTTATTTTTTAAATTCAGTTCTAAACAGTCAAATGTGAGCTTTTTTTTTTTTGTTATTATTACTTCTTTTTTTTTTTTTTTTTAACCATATACTTTATTATTTTTTTAAATTTCATTAATTTTGTAGTTTTTAGTCCTGATCATCTTGCAGGTCTGGTTTTTTTTTTTTTTCTCGACAAGGGTGACCAATTGTCGAGGTAGGTATAGTTAGTATATTGATCAGAAGACCTCCAAAGAGCATATTACTTTTTTTTTATTTTTTGTATAATCATTTATATACTTTACCTGTTTTTAAATTACATTGATTTTCATATTTATTTTGTGCTTTTTAGCCCTGAAGAAGAACTACAGTATAAAGGATTAAATAGTTTTGATAAATTTTGTTGTTTAAGTTTTACTTTTTCCAATATGATTATTAATCCGAAAACGGGAAACATGTTGTTGAGGTAGGTATAGTCAGTATAATGATCAAAAGGCCCCGGCAGAACTTGTTTAAATTAGGGTAAAATGATTTAGTGGATGAAGGGAGAGGCTGAGACAGGATGAACTCAAGTGTCAGGCGGAAGAGCTCCCAAAATCACTGTCGGTCCGCTGGCTGAGGGATGAATTTCAAGACACCTCTGGACAGTTACCATAAAAGGAGGGACGAATCTCCAGACTTAGTGGCAGGATGAAATAATAACGGAGAAATGAGCCTCCAGACTTAGTATGTAGGAGTACAAGCGGACGGATGAGTATCCAGACCTTGAATGAAGAGAGAAAAGGTTACAGGAGCATAGTAAAATAAAACGCAGTTTGATGTAGAACCAAAAAGCGTATCATGAAATACTGATCAAACTGCTCGGAAAGTCTACATCCCAAAGAATGGCGATCTGAGATCCGAATAAAAGTCTTGAGGACAGTGGTCTTCATTCCGACATTTTATAAAATTTTAGCATTTTTTTATGTTTTGGTTTTTTATATTTGCTGCGCTAGAATTTGTAGGTTGTAATATGACAATAGATTTGTTTTTATGTTTAAAATAAGAAAGGCATATTGCTAGTTGTATTTAACGAATTCAAATATAAATTACAAAAAATAATAAGATGCATACAGTAAGGTAGGTCAAGTAAATTTTTATCATGAATAACAATTCATATTCCTCATTAACTACCTTTAAAACTCCTAAATACGAATTTGTTTTGAATTAAAAAAGTATGAATTTTTGGACTTGATTTTATCGGAAAATATTTTTATATGCCGAAAACTATAAAAAAAACATGCAATTGACCTATATACACCTCGGAAAAACCTTTAATACAGCTTTAATTACGGAAAATGAAAAAAAAAAAATTCCAAAAGGGTAGAACCTTCAATTTCTTTTTGAAAATCATAAAAACTATGACTACTTCAACATTAGTCCACCTATTTTCACGAAAATTATCATGAATTTAGGATCCTATAACTACACGAAATGGCACAGACTAGATCCCCGTTAACATATTAAGATTGGAGATAAAAAGGTGAAGTTTTTCTTTATTTACTCCTTATAAACTTCAAATCTAAAAGGAATTGACATGGTTTGGAAGAGCAACAATTCAGCTTTTCGACAATTGTAGTAACGTTGAATCAGGAGAAAATCCTGAGGAGTTATGAATGGTTCAGTAAACGGCATGTAAAAAATTCTACCAATAATCAAGTCAAAAAACGTATATTTTCTTATTTCAAAATAAATTCGTATTTAAGAGATTTAATGGACGCTAGAAACGAATCTGAATAGTGTTTCATGACAAAGATTTATTTGGCCTACTTTACTGGAAGTTCCATTTATTTTCTATACATTTAAATTCGCTTTTCATATTTTACACACGCACACAATAAAAAAAAATCGATTGATATATTATAACTTAGAAATCTATTTAACCCTATCCATTTATGCAAGGTAGAAAAAAATCGGAATGGTACTGGGCTGTAAGATCTCTGATTGCGGAAGCCGATAAAGAGAGGCATAATTAAAAAAAAAAGATATAAAAAATATTAAAATTTTATAATTTATTTTTTTAGTTGGATCCTAGGGTGCATTGGCAAGAATTCTCGGATATATTTTGGTATAATATTTTTCGACCCAGTATCACTAAAAAAAATTTCATTGAAATAGTTGACCCTTTCCGTAACCTCCCCTTGTACAATCCGGATTTATGTATAATAAAAGTCATTGAAATGAGCCACGTAATATGCCTTCAAAAGTACAATAATATGCCGTCAAAATTATGACTGTACGCAACAAAATATTAAGATAAGGTAGTAAATATAAAATAATGAACTATAAAAGAAAAAAAAAATACAATATATATGGAAGATTTCATCAGGAATCGAAGCAAGGTTAGAGACGAGAGGGTTCGTATGATTCTGAAGTTTGTTATGGATAGTTATCTGAATTCGACAAAATTGGAAATACAAGGAACATTAAGATTGTTATGGATGATTTAATTTGTTACACAGTAAGGAGCATTGAGGATTTTACGAAGATTTCGGATTGTAAGGATTGACTACAAATTCGATGGTTTAGTGGAGCCCCATAACTCAACTCCGTAAGTCTATATAGGCCTTATTATAGCCATATATATGAGTCTTTTGCATTTAATTGGAAGATTAAGCGTTTGTCAAGTAAGTGCTGAAGTACTCGGAATCATCGAGCGGTTTCTTGTCGTTTTAGTCTGGTAAGAGGATTCCAAGCTAGACTTTACGTCTAAAATGAATATAATTAATTGAGATGTGCACAAGATATCCTTTTTGAGACTAAGTTTGTGTTATAAAAATTATTTGTCTGGTGAAGTTATCGGTTCATAGTTTTGGAAAAATTAAGCAAAAAAAAAAAAAAATGTACATTTGCATACAAATTCTCTCCTTGAAACTATGAATAATCTGCGCGGTTTTCTTTCTAAAAATAATGAGGATATCAAGCCTGTTATGACGAACATTATGACCAGAAATAACTCATTCTGAAACCGATTTAGTGGACCTTGGAATGTACTTGTAATATTTATCCTATTCTGGCATATCCATCAGGGACGTCTTAGTGGGAATGGGAGAGAGAGCGCTTAAACCTCTCTCCTCCAAACCATTTGAAAACCCGAAATTGAATGAGATATTGACATTTAATACCAATACCAATACCTCTTAAGTTGAGAACTTATTCTATGTAATTACTACATACGTAATTATAAGAACATAATAAATATAAGTAATATAAGAAATTATATCGATACAATTTCATGTTTAAATTAAAAAGAAATTTTTTTTTGTCAAGTTATTATTAATGTTCTGGAAAATTATGTTGCAATTATTGATATTTTTAGAAACTGTGATCCTATAACTGAAATGAACTTTGAACAAAGATTTTTAGAACTTTACACTTTTTAGAATTATATAACAACAATAATTATTCACATATGCCTATTTCAACAATATGTGTAACATTTAAATATTTATAACATAAATATCAGTTTTGATTCCCTAACAGTTAGTTTATAATATTAATGTATCGAAATCCTATCAAACCTTATTATAAGTTTCTGAATTAAAACACCCTGCCTCAAAAAAAAAAAAAAAAAAAAAATTAAAATCCATATTACAATCAACCAACGACAACAATACATAATCTAATACAACTATAATTTACGTCTAACCAAAATCTTGAAGAAAGAAAAAAAAAGAAGAAAAATAAGGACTTACATAAATAATTTAAGTTTATGTCAAGATAATTTACAAAACAAATACAAAAAGGTCTCATAAATTAACCTACAATGATTAAATGTATTTGTTTAAATTTCGCTTAAATTGGTTAATTGACTGGCACATATAAGGAATGGAGTAAGGTAAAGGAACTTAAAAATATTAAGGGTATGAAGGATAAGTATATATTGTAAATACCAAATCAATTAAATTTAGGTATTCAATGTTAATTGAAAATAATATATGCATATACATAATTATAAAATGTCCACATTACAACGTAATATTTAATTTTTTAATCGAGTTGAGATTTACAATGTTACACATTTCGAAATTTGTTTCTCCTACCACTTAATACGTCTTTTAATTTAAGCGTTTAACATGTAAAGCGAACTGATGTAAGGGGAATCATTTTGTAAGAAGCAACCACTGCTGGTCATTAGTCAACATTTACATTTATACCGTCAATGCAGTACTTATATTTTTTTCATAGAACGTAACCTGTATTTTTTTCCAGGAGTGCCATCCCCCCAAGATCGATGGCGCAGAAACTTACCCCCTCCCCTTCCCAAGATATTTTATTTGCTCATCTTTTTACAAAAACAGAGCAAGATAAAGGAGAATTAGAAAAATCGTAGATCACACACAATTACACTTATTATTTTATTTTATTATTTTTTATTTTATTTTCAACCCTCCCCTGCCTGAAGGTGAAACGGGTATTTGCAGCAGTGGGATGTTACTGTTACATAACAACCCACTGCTTTATTTTTTGGCTATCACATTATTTTTCTGAGCTGTGCACACAGCTTGCTCTTCTCTTCGCTTGCATCTGGTTTTCTTTTCTTCTTATTCTGGTGGCCTCCCCGGTACAGCTTCTCTTCTTCTTCCCAAAGAGAAGTGGGTTGGTAGTACAACTTCTTTCCATCCGTATATAAAACGTTATAAGTGCGCGTATTTGTCTTTGGCCATAAGTTGAGGAAGATCTATCTCTCTGTTAGGACAAAGAGACCTGTTTCTCTCAATAGTTTCGCCCTCAATGACTCATAGACCGTACAGGTAAGTACAACATGTTCAGCGGTCTCCGGTACCCCACAACTTGGGCATAGGGGATCGATATTTATACCATATTGAACGAGCTTTGCTCGGAAACCCCCATGCCCCGTGAGAATCTGTGAGATCCAGTAGTCCGGGAGGACCCAAGTCGCTTCTAGTCGCGAACTGACGGTGGGGAAGTACTTTCTTAGGGTAGCTCCTTTGGGAGTCGTCAACCATCGTCGGTTCCAGTCCTCTACTGTATCCTCCCGGAGGATCTTCTTCCAGTTTCTTGGATCATCTCCTATTCTCACTCGGAGGTAATCCGGTAGAGACACTAAGCATTCTCTCCTAATCTTGTACCGGTAGTAGTCTTCTCTCAGCAGGAGGTCGAGAGGTATTCCTCCTGCCAAGGCCTACACAGCCTCATGAGACACCGTCCTGAATGATCTGGAGACTCGAAGCAGAGCCATCCGCTGAATCGTGACCAACCTACATTTCTGTCTGTTCGAGATATTTTGGCTCCAAGCAGGGGACGCATACCTCAGGATACTCACAATAACACCTTTATAAATGGTCATAGTTGCTGGGTACCTGAAGCCCCAAAATGCGCCTCCAATACGACTGAGTCCGTTGAGGGTTATGGCTACCCTACTTCTCAAGTAGTCCAAGTGAGGTGTGATGTTGAACTTTCTTCCAATCCTAATCCTAAGATAGGTGACAACCTCACTTGGAAGTATTCTTGATGCTTGTATAACCATTGTTATAGGGTGAGCCCTATCAGTCGTGCCTTTCAAGAGGATGGCCTGAGTCTTGGTGGCCATCCTGAATTTCTTCTTCTCGCACCATTCTTCTACTAGGTTGGCGCACCTTTCAGCTTCTTCTTTCAGTCGGGCTCTGCTGTTCGAGGCTACCACAACACCTACGGACAGATCATCTACATAAGCCGTAGCGGAGAACCGCTCCTCTTCCAGTACTCCCAACGACTCATTGAAGACTAAATTCCATAGGGCAGGACTTAGAACAGAACCCTGGGGACAACGTCTTTCCATGGAGTCTTCAATTTTGAAGAAGTTACCCCGTAATCTTAAAGTTCGGTTCTGAAGATAGCTCCGTAATAGCTCGTACAATCCGTAAGTACACACAATTACACTTGTCGCGATCTGTTCATAGTTATCTCCTCATCCCTTATTCTGAAACTTTTCATTCCATAAATTCATAATCCTTTTGAAATGTTCTTCCCCTCAAAAATTAAAAAATCCGTCAAAATATGATCCCCATAAAAAGCTTGATGGCGTAACTTGCTCCAAATAATCTCCCTCTGGGCACTTTTTTCTTTATGGAGTAAACTTTTTGAGATATATTTCATTTCCCATTTCACTATTTTAAGATTTACTCCTACAGTTTCCATAATTTCAATTTGTTTATTAATTTAACAGATTTCGAGATTTTAACTGAGTTAATTTTTGCGGAAAATGTCATTCTAAATTTGACAAATGTGATTCTAGAATGTCAAATCGGATATTAATGATGCCGAATTCATGATAGTCTACGATTCACTTCAAAGCCGGAAGAGTAAGAATTGAAGTCAAAACGAGGAAAGCAGTTTTTTTATTGAATTACTTCAGGTGAGCTCTATTCCACGTATAATCTGCTCTTGTGTTTATTTTGTTCTTTTGTAGCGTTAAATTCGAATCTTTGCCAGTCACAGGATCATTTATCTATCTCATCATGTTCTTTCTTAAATTATAAATTTAATAGACAAGATAGCAAAACGAAAAAAGTAAATATTTATACACACATATATATTAAATTTATAAATAATTTAATCTAGCACAAAAATGTGCGATTTAATGCAACAAAAATCATAATCGTGCAATTTAAGCAAATTCTGAAACGAATAGATATTCGGGTCTGCGGTTTTCACACGCAAGCGAATAAAATGTGCAATAACATAGAAATCATCTAATTATATGTATAAATAGTTCCGCCATAAATACTGTTACAAAAGTTGAACTTTGTTTACATCCTTGGGAATTATTTATATAATCCTTACCTCTATCAGGTTATTTTTCTACATGTCAGCATAATAACCCCAATTAGTTTTTATTTTTCTTTCGCTCAGTTAACATGGAGTGGGGTGATAAAGAAAACCGAATAGCTGTGAAAATCGCCTTACACAAAGTTGGAAAATGTAGGTCAGAGATTTTCTTTCAACACTTTGAAACCTTTGAGTATCAGCCGCATGTTCGTGTACCGCACTATAAATAGATATAATGAGACCATATCTGTATGTGACAGATCTCGACCGGACCGTCCCCATACTGTGAAAACGGCAGTGAGAGCACTGGCTCCTCGAATCAGAAGAAATCCCACTCGAAAACAGCCTATCATGTCTCGGGAAATGGGAATCAATGTCTCGCATGATAAAAAGTGACCTTAGGATGGGTACATGTCGAAGAATGGTAGGACAAAGGCTAACCACTTCCCTAAAAAAAATTAGAGTGGATAGATACAAAGTGCTGCTTGACCGTTACACCAATCGTCTTTATCGACAGATTTTGTTTAACGATAAAATTTTTTTTACAATTGAAGACAAATTTAATCACCAAAATGATGGTGTGTCCGCACACAACTCTAAAGAAGCCCAGGAAGTCATTGGAAGAGTGGAACGAAGTCGTTATTCTTCCTCAGTTATGGTTTGGTGGGGAGTGTGCTTTGATGGCACCACAAAGCTCCATTTTTGTGGGCCAGTTCAACTCAGCAGTGGCTGCAAAAGAACATTCCAGGGTTCATCTCTGTCTCGGATTGGCTCTCAGAAAGTCCTGATCTCAACCCACTAGATTATCGGGTTTGGTCCGAACTGGAGAGGATGGCATGAGCACACCCTAACTTGGAAAGCCTCAAAAAATCTCTGGTCCGAGCAGTTGAGCGCTTTCCTCAAGAAGTGCTGCGTGCTGCTATTGATGACTGGCCGCGAAGATTAAATGCCAGTGTCAAGGCAAAAGAGAGAAATTTTGAGTAATTTCTTTTTTGTTTTACTCTCTATAGATACATATTTTATTTTCTAATAAAGTTTTTGAAAAAAATAATTTTTCTGTTGAAATCTATATATATATTTCCTTGTAACAATATTTATGACAGGACTAGGTATATGCAGGGGTGCCCAAAAGGGGTTCATGGCGCAAGTTACGCCATCAAAATTTTTGAGAGATGCATATTTGGACAGGTTTATGAATTTTGGAATGAAAAGATTCAAACCAAAATATAAGAGAGCATGGGATAGATTGCAGGAACTGCAATTGTGTATAATATACGATTTTTCTAATTCTACTTTCGCTTGCATTGTTTTTCAAGAAGAGGTGATAAATAAAATTTCTTGGGGGTGAGGGAGTCCCCAGTATGAATGTTCCTGTCAACATATTTTTACATTCGATGCAATGGGTAATGTTTCTTTAGGTCATTCAACAGAATAAATGTTGGCAAATGCATTTCTTTTCTCTGCCTTCTCTAAAATTATTCTTAATTTAGTTTTCTTTCTACAGAGTTGTAGCCCAGCCAAATTAGGCACTTAACCTTGCAAAAGGTCGGGTAATTCAAATTTCTTTTTTTTTATTATTAGGTATGTATTGAATATAAAAAATCCAAGTTTCTGCCCTTTAAAGCCTGTGGGTTCGCTGAAGTGCTCCTAAACCATTGAAATTTCGAACTTTTTTTGTATTAAATATTTATATGCTAAATATTTTCTTTTTAGAGCGTTATAAATAGAAAATGGTTATATTCAATCTTAAACACCTTAAAATTGTCTTACATTTTATTTGTCTAACATGTCTAACCCAATAGGAAGCGAACCATCGGGTTTTCAAAATTTACCTATTTTGATTTTTTCACAATAGTGCTCTTTCAGTTCAAAACGGGAGGGTTCTGTAACTCCATTTCGAACCTCACCCAGAGAATCTGGAGGTTTTCTTTGAAAATAATGAGCCATTGACTGAAACGGTAGACGATAGTCGGGAGGTGTTTTGAAAAGAATGTTACACGATGGGCCAAACTTTAACCCGGTAAATCTTCTTCCACACCCCAATAAATTGCATATAGTTGCGTTCCTTGCAACTATTAATTTTGAAAAAGCCAATGTTTCTACAAAGTAGCCGCACTGTCCCAAAATGGGGTTCCAAACATGGCGGATTGAGGTCTTAGAGTTGACTTGTTTTTTAAGTCACTGAGATTTAGAATTTGACTTAATTTCGCCATAATTGGCCTTTTATCAAAGCTGGATAGTTAGAGAATAATAGAATATTAAACAATAATTGGCCTGGGCAATAAAAAACACCAATAAATTCAATTTTTCAAATCGTTCAAAATAAAGTTGAAAATGAAGCGGCGTTTTTAAATAAACAAACAAACAATGTTTTTTTTTTTTTACTTTCTATATTCTTGTTTATATCTATAGCTATGCCATTCATGAATACTGAAAAATGTCGCATTAAAAGTAACAAGAAAAACTGTAATTGTTGACGATCAATTTTATTAAAATAAGCGGAAAACAGTAAAAATAAAATTATAAGGATTTTTTAGAATTTCAAAACATCAATTTCTTTTTAGCGATTTGTATTTAAGTTGTCAAGTTTAGAAAAATATGTTAACTATAAAAGCTGTAGTGATTTGTGTACGCTTTAATATTTAATTTAAAATTTTTAGCTAAGTCACCTATAAAACAGATAATTAGTTAAAAACAAAAATAATACATGTTCTTTGGGGATTTTTCAAAATCTTGTCCGTTTTGAAAGCACGATAATTCGTTTAGAAAAAATTGTTAGATAATTTTAAGCTGTTAGAAATTAAATGTAACCATTTTTAATCTATCTCGCGTTAAGAACGAAATATTTAGCTCTAGCCAAAAATCGTTCGAAGTTTCAATGGCTTTTGGAGCACTGCAGCGAACCCACATAGCTTTCAAGGAACATAGCGGAAAATTAGATTATTTTATGTTCAATACATTCCTAATAATATAAAAAAGAAATTTGAATTACACGACTTTTTGCAAGATAGACCTCTGTTTTTGTGCTAATATGACTGGACTATTGAGCTATGAGGCTCCACTAAACAATTGAATTTCTCTCGTATTTAATCCATCCAACCCAAAATCCATCGTAAAATCCTCAAAACTTCTTACATTGTTACAATAAGGTAATCCATACATACTTTAATGGTCCTTATGTTTCCAATTTGGTCCAATCCAGGTACCTATCCTTTCATAATAAACTTCAAAACCATCCGAACAAAACCATAGAACTCTCGTGTCTAACGTTCCTTCCTCTTCGATTCTTGATAACCCTCCAAGGCGTCTGAAAAGAATATGACCCCATGATCTCCTATTGTACACATATTATTACAGTGCCCAACAGTGGGTAGTTTCTCTTCAAGTGTTTTCATGTCACCATATTCATTTGTTTACATTTACTGTGTATTTTTATTAGGTGTATTTTTATGTTTTGATACAGTTGAAAATTATCCTCCTATTATCCTCCCATTATAAACTGCAGGCCCATCCAAACCCACTAGTTCCTAACCTTGCATTCTCTTCGATTCCTGACAATCATTCTAGGCTTCTGAAAAGAAGGTGGCCTCGGGACCGTCTAATATAGAATTATAATTGGTGCACTATGAATGTGTGGGTAGTTTCTTTACAAGTCTGACTATGTCCATTACACCAATTCAAACCTTGTAAATAAATATGAATGTGTCTCTATATTTTTGGAAATAAGTATGAATGTGTTTTTATATTTTTATTTCCGATTACTTCAGCACTTACTAGGCAAACGCTCTGAACTTCCAATTAATTACAAAAGACTCATATACATGACTATAATAAGGCCTATTTGGACTTGCGGAGTTTAGCTGTAGGAGCTCCACTAAACCATCGAATTCCTCTCGTATCCAATCCTTACAATCCGAAATCCTTCGTAAAATCCTCAATGCTCCCTACTTTGTTACAAATAAAACCATCCATAATGACATTAATGATTCAGATCTGGCCCAATCCAGATACCTATCCTTCCATAAAAAACTTCAGAATCATCCCAACCCTCTCGTTTCTAACCTTGCTTCCTCTTCGATTCTTGATAACCCTCCAAGGCGTCTGAAAAGAATATGGCCCCATGATCTCCTATTGTACACATATTATTACAGTGCCCAACAGTGGGTAGTTTCTCTTCAAGTGTTTTCATGTCACCATATTCATTTGTTTACATTTACTGTGTATTTTTATTAGGTGTATTTTTATGTTTGATACAGTTGAAAATATCATGAGTAGTAAAAAAAAAATAAAATAAATAAATAATAATAAACCAGAAGAAACAAACCAATTCGAAATGGTTTTGATTTTGAACATATTTAGTGGTGTAGCGTTTTGATAAAAAGTTATTTATTATGCCTACATTTACTAATAACATTGTAAATGTTTTTGGGGAAGACAAGAAATTAAACAGAAAAACAAACAGGTGAAACAGCTATATGAATTTGTTCATGTTCTACTCCAAATAAAGTTACATAACCATGGTTAATATAAAGGAAGGCAATTCTGTACTTCATGTATTTTTAGTTTGCAAACTAAAAATAAATTATACACATAATTTGTATGTTATATTTTTTTTTTAGATTTCCATCGGTATAATATACACCTGTATTACTGCTCTTATCTCCGAAAATTTGTGTCCATCCTTTAGAAACATTTATCCCTTTTTCTTCTGTAGTTCATGATTAAATTATTCCATAGCTCATATTTATCCATTTAGTATTACTACTGATTAGTGTTAGTCCCAAATGCGAGAACGAGACGAGTCTTGATCTTGCAAACTCAGTCTCGATCATGGTCTTGGTCTTGCGCAAGAGTCTCGCAACAGTCTTGCAGTTACTTATTAGCTTATTACTATAGAGATATTACTGTAATTTGTAATGTATTGTGCTGTAATTTTTAATTTGTAATGTAAGATAGGAAAAACCTAACAAAGCCCGAATGAAAAATTAAAGGAGTTAAATGCAAAAGTATATTGGTTATACCAATTATTTACATATAGTAACTAAGATTGTCAAGTATTAGTAACTATTTTGCCTTAATTTTTATTCAAAAAGTCGATTTTTTTTTACCAGTCCTGGTCTTGGTCTTGCAACTTTTAGGCGGTCTTGGTCTTGGTCTTGCAAGGTACAATACCAAGACTGATTTTGGTCAACACTACTACTGATAGTGATATACCTTTATTGTTTCTAATAAACACAATTAATGGCACTACAGAGATAGAAGTTTTGAAAATTCGTCTCTTAATCCCTTGCAGACTATTTGAGTAACGATTTGACTTAATTGTTTTCAAAGGCCATTACATCGATATATCGCGTTTTATCAACCAATCGTTAGATTAGTTTTTGAAAAAATGTGTAAAATACATCATATCAGGTCTTACTTCTGGCATTTGTCTTTTATCACAGACGTTACCGTAATATCTCAGGCATATACCGACCCTAAGTGCGTATTCCAATTTTAAAGAAATTTTCGTTTTAAAGAAAGGCTGTTCACATACGCCCAGACCATTTTGTGAGATTTAGTTGTTTGAACTCAGGAGAACTTAAAGCGGTACAGACCCCTTTTTATCAAATTAAAGCTTTGTGAATAGTTCCATCTTATCGTAACATACAAATTTTTTAGGAATATTCTTAGAAAAAGGGCGTATTCTCATTAAATTAATTAATTTAATGAGTTACTAAGAACTCATAAATACACATTTGCTTTCCACTTGATTCGCAAGATTATTTAATCGCAAAATCGAGAAAAAGGTGGCCTACAAAATACTAGGTAGTTTGGCCTATATAACCTCATTATTTTGACATGTGGTGGAGGTCACGCCAAACGGTCTGATATGTATTTCTGTTAAAAAGTCGGATTCGAATTTTTACCCGATTTCTATACTTTTCATTACAATGTGTTTCATATATTTGTAAATGGATATAAACATTAAATATCTTAAATCCTTTAAACTTCCGATTAGTAACAGAAAAAAACAGCGGTTGGTAGTTGTATATGAAAGTGATAACTGACAATATTTGGTAAATTAAAATATTTAAAAAACATGTTTTAAAACACGCAAATAAATATAAAATTAGTTAAAACACAAATCAACAAATGATTAATAAAATTAATAACATAACCTGAAATACTTATTAAAAATTTAAAACATCATAAAATTACTATTATTAATAAAATAAAATTAGCAATGGTTTTAACTAAAAAAAAATATTTTTGTGATGGATGTTTTTTTTTTTAAATTATCAAAATGATTGTAGGATTTTCATTCTAAATTTGGTCTCTACATTTCTAACGTTGCATTTTAATTTATTATTTCAAATTATTACTATATTTTTATATACAAAACATACAATTATATAGGTATGCATTTATCATCAAACATTTAAAAAATGCTATATATATAGCATTTATTTATTAGTCGTATTTTATAATTAGACTAATTGCCTCTGAGTACACTGATTCGCACCAATATTTAATTACTATAATATATGTTGTGTTTTTATAGAAATATAAATATTCTTATTACATATTAAGCTGACCGTGTAGTTATCAAAAACAAAAAAAAAAGTTCTTGAAGATGGGCCAGGCGTGGACAAAAATCAATAAACTATATATGAACGAATGAGAATATCAGGATTAGGTAAATTGAAAAACTAGTATTTTTTGTAATATGTTGTAATTTTTTTTAAATTTACGACAAGATATTACTCTTGATTATGAATTAAAATGACAGAGATGGATGTTTACAAAATTTTTGTATATATATAATTGATAACATTACGCCAGGTATAGTGTAATGTATATTTAATTTTGTATTGTTGCCTAAAACAAAAAAAATTGTGTTTGAAGATGGGCCACGAGCCCTAAACGTCGACAGAAAGAAAATAAATAAACAAATAACTTTGATAAAAGGAAGAGTAGCTTCTAAAAAAAATAATAAAAAAAATAGGAAATTAAAAATAAGATTTGTGTTTTTTCTTCCAGAACTGAGCCGGTTATATATAATATATACTCTGTTTTTAAGCTGATCGTATTTTTGTCAAAAACAGAAAAATAAATTGTTCTTGAAGATGGGTCAGGAGTCCGAAACGTCGACAAAAAGAAAATTAATAAATTATGTATCAACGGAAGAAATGCCTTCGTTTAAAAAAATCATACCTAGGAAATTATACTATTACTTTGGAATACTCTTTTATTAAAAATCACAGTTTTTTTTATCTTCCTTAGCAAACCTGTTACGAGCTACTGCAGATGATATTACGTACATAGTTCCATCTCTTAAGTCACCTCTCTCTTATTGAACACTGATGTAATAAGTGGCGAATCCAAGTAAATGAATCCAAATCCAAACATATCACTTTTACCCTTCGACGCAATTCCTGTCCAGCAGTCTACTTCAACTCCATACCACTTCCTCTGTCCGAGACAGTCCGGTATCTTGGCTTTATTCTAGACAAAATACTAACATCGAACCCACACTCTAGACTTAAAAGACAACAACTTAACAGACGATACGGACAACTATATATACTATTGAATAGAAAATCTCAACTTTCAGCAAACTACTAATCTACAAGACAATCCTGAAACCTATTTGGACCTACGGAATAGAACTGTGGGGGACAGCAAAACTTTCTAACATCAAACGCATTCCTTCCTTCCAGTCTAAAATCCTCCGATCAATAGTCGATGCTCTCTTCTATGTATCCAACAAAACTCTCCATAATGACCTTCATATCCCATTTGTTCTTGACCTTATCCCAGACAAATTTTCTAAATTTCACCAGAACCTCACTCATCATCCAAATCCTGTAGCGCAATCCCTATCTAGCTCCAGCCATCCCTACAATCCTCCCCGGAGGTTAAAACGGCAGTGGCCCAGCGACCTTCTGTAAATGTTTATATATTGGAGTTCTGGCAATGGCCATGTTGCTGTAGTGCCCTCCATCAGTTTCCACTGGTTTCAAAAAACAGTGACGCGGCTGAGAGAGAAGCACTGGGATCCCCTGGAGTCCTGCCTTGGCTTCCACATCGGGGGATAAGGCATGACTCAGAGTCCCCTGGGTGAATGTAAATATTGTACATAGGTGTGAACGTGATTTATTTACTTTAATTTCATTTAGCTTTTATGTATTATTTCATTTTTTTCTTTAGCACAGGAATATAAACTTATTTTATTCTTTTATATTTCTTTTTGTTTATTATTGAAATATTAATTGTATGTACATATTGTGTCACTAGCGGATCCAGGATTTAATTTTGGGGGGGAGCTTCAGCCCGAAAGTTTTTTTTTTTTTTTTATAAAAATAATGATAATTACTTTGGAAAAAAAGAAAGAAGCTAACTACCTATATGAAATGGTGTTTAAGTGATTCCTAAAGCCCTTTTAAATGTAATTACACGAACAATAATACTTTAAGAGATACTTTTTAAATATTTTTTTCAAAAAAACATGGTTATATTTTAGCATTTTTGGGGGGGGGCTTCAGCCCGAAAGCCCCTCCCCCCCCCCGTAGATCCGCCCGTGTATTGTGTGAATGAATCATGTAGCCTTAATATTAATGCCCTTTAATGTGGCAGAATGTATTAATATTCAATAAAGAAAGAAAGAAAAAAAAAAAAAGTTCCATCTCAATAACCAAGCAGATTTTTACACAAGGGAGCTATTTAAAGAATAATTTAAAAATTCCGGTTAATAAGGGTTGCGGATATGGCGGATCCGGATAAGCAGGTTTCTTCTGTATTGTGTATGTTTCACGATTTCGTTTTACTTTTTATTAATATTTATATTAAATTAGGAAGTGGGACAAATCGGTAGAATAAGTAGTATGATAAAATGTGAGATCAGCTGTTGGAGCGGTAGAGGGGAGGGCGTCTTGGTGAGAGCGACCAGTCTTCAGCTTGGCAGCCTGCAGGATGGACCTAAGACCTCCATGCATCGCGACCATCACAGTCTTCTTCGCAATATCTTCATTAGCTCAAGGTATTTATCTCAAAATATAACTAAAACCTTCCGTAGGATGTATTGTATCATTTTATATATACATAATAGTAGATTTTATTCCTATCCGCTATATAGTGATCTAGATCTTAAAGAGTCCTACTTAGCTCGAGATGTTCGTTTTATACCCTTTTACGAGAATATTCTTATAACTCTTTTGTATTTTTTTTTTTTAATTGAATATTGGTCATTGTAATGGTACCGCTATTTCGGAACATCGCACACACACCCCTTCTCCCACTCCTCCATTTATTGTTGGACGATGTTTACTTTGCATAAATATGATTACATTTCAGCTACGTGCATTCACCCTTACATGTTCCGAATTTTCTCAGACCTCCTTTGAAAACTGTCGAGCAGTGAATCTTTAAATGTTAACAAGTTGGGCGCCAAATTTGAGAATTTCTTTAATAATAGAACGAAAGCATTGGGCTCGATTCCTGACCGATTGAAATATTTGAATAGTTTGTTCTGAGAAGCGGATGAGTCAATCCTGCTTTCTAAAGACGTGACAGGAGGCAGTAGGATCGGCGTTCAGTGATCTCAAGCTCACTTTTACTTGTTTATTTAATTTATTAAAATGAAAATTACTATCATTAAAAAAAAAAAATGGAAATAAATTCAAAGTTTATTTTGATTTTTTAAAAAAAGTACTGTTCCATAAATGTCAACGCACATACATTTTTTTTTTAATAACTTGAAAAATCTTTAGTTTAAAATTATAAAATAAGATATTTTTCTTATGTTTTCTCAATAATATAAACATTTATTATCATTTTATCCAAATATAATATCACCAAGATGTCTTCTCTACGTGAAATTGATGAAAGAAAAAAAAGTTAGTTAATTGTATATTTAAAAAAAATAATCATGAGTTAGTTATAAAATCATTATGGAAATAGTTTTAGTTCTGAGTTCTGGTACTCTGTTTCTCGAAACAGCCTATAAAGGACTTTAACGGGCGTATAGGAACGTAGGGATCGTATCCAACTAACTTAACTAAAAATACTGTATTTTATTCAAAAAATTTCATCTTTCTATAATTTAATAGAGAATAATTAATTAGTTTATATTCAAAGATATGCTGCCTAAACACATTTTAATATACACATCTTACTATATATATCATTTAGACTATTCTTAGGAATATATTGAACATCTTCAAGAACAAAATATATGCATAATGTTTTTTTACTTTGTACTTGCTTTGTTTTTATATTGTATAACAAATCGAGAAAAAAGGTGGCCTACAAAAATATTGACCATTTGGTGTATATAAAATGGTTATTAAGAAACTTTGATGGTGTAGGTCACGCCAAACGGCCCAGTGTTTGTGTAGGTACCTTTTTTCTCGTTTTTCTGATCAAATTATCTTACAATTCAAGTACAAAACAAATGAGTATTTACGCGTTATCAGTACCTAATTAAATAAACAAAGTTTGCCGATCTCCAGATTGAAAACGCCCCAATTCCGAGAATTTTCGTATAAAAAATAGTTGTGGGTTACTATGAGGTGAAGCTATTTATTAAGTTTCACGTGGATTTCAATAATTTGATAAAAAAGGGTCTGTACCACGGACTATCTTTTTATCAAATCAATTTTCATGCATCTGGTGGTGGATGATTTCTCAGGAATCCAAGAAATATATTTTTAACTAGTATTGCTACGTCCTTAGTACTAAACACCAAGAACTCTTCCTCCAAGCAACTAGTTGTAGTCACGAAGTTGAAGTTTCTTTTGTAGAAAATTCGATTTTATAAATTTTATTATGGCCATTATTTAATTTAATTGCGTTTATGGACTAAATTATATTCATTGAATGAGAATTTTTGAAAATTTAGCATTTCTTATATTCGGCTCTTATTATGCGATTTGTTTCTATCCCAATTTACTTTCTTTCCTTGATTTCACATTCTACGTTTCCAAGTGTTTCCTTCATCACCATCATCATCTTAGTACCATCATTTATTCAGTACATTCCTTTATATTATTCCACAATTATATATTATCCATATTATTAATGTTGTATCAATTTTTTCTAAAATACACATTCAAAACAAGGAATTTTTCTTTACGTATGTTCTTTTATTATTAAATACGAGTAACTTTATTAATTACGTTTTACAGTTATATTGATCAATATAGCGGAACTATATAGTGTTTTAATATATGATGGACCGAAATTTCAACTTTGCTAATTGTATTCATCTTTTATCTATACATCTAATTAAAATGGATACATACCTTCCCATTGAAATTATGTTTTCTTTCATGCTTTATTTTATCAATCATTTTTTTATTTTCCTTCTTAAGTGAAGTATATTTATTTTCTTGATCCACTCCCACATATTTATGAAATAACTATAAATTTGAAAAAAAAATTCACAATTATTTTTTTTTTTTAATGGAGAACAAGGTTTCATGATCGAATGGAAAAAAAGATGAAAAAAAAATGCTGGTATGAAACTCTGTCGTTAGATTTGGTTTATTTTCTTAACAGCCCCAAAATTAAATTAAAATTAATAATGTATTATTTTTTAAAACATTTTACTGAAGCGATTATAAAGTATTGATTCTGATTCTTTATGTATCAGTATAAAATAAATGCCTTAATTATATTTTATTCTAATAAGAAGCAATTTTAAAACTAAAATAAAGAAGTTTTCTTTATGTTATTACTGTTACGTTATCTTATAAGTTATTTTCGAGCGTCTGATACATGTTTTATATATGATATTTCCGACGTAAAAAAATAATTTTGTAATAACGTTATTAAAAGATTTAAAAAATGCGTTGTAACACCTATTATCCTTATATGTATTTTTTAAAAAATATTTAATAAGTAATATATTCAACTGATATATGTATGTGTGTGTGTAATTATAAGATATATTTAAATGGTCTATGGGTTGAATGTATAATTATAAATTATTTTCAAAACAATAAACTAGCTTTCAAAGAATTTGTTGTATTAAAAATGGCATAAGTACGAATTTCAAACCCACATAACAAGGAAAAATGTGAAAAAAAAATGGAACAACTTTCTTCTAAAAAAAAAATGCATTTTTATGTTTTAATTGGTTTTATTAATTTATGACAAAATGTTCAACATCCATCTCTTTGTCATTCAAATCTATGAGCAAGGTCCGGATTTTTATGCATAAAGACTATAGTCAGGATGTTTTGCATTTCTAATGTTAGGAAATGATTTTTCCTTCTTAAAAATCTATGAACGCCCGACGCTAACCACCGTTTGAAATAGGAGAAATTTCTATGATTCCGTAGTCGGTCGTGTGCCGAAATGGTGTTAGGGCCAACTAATTTCCCCTACAGGAAAGGAGATAGGGAGAAAGCTGGTCTTTGCAACCCGGTAACTTTATCTGTCCGGTTTCCAATCATCTCTGTAACCGACACAATTATAACCGTACGAGACCGCAAATACCTAAGCGAGCTTTTCGGAATCCAATACTTATGAGTCTTCATCTATCGGTTTTGTTGGACCTGTCACAAGGCATTTAAAAAAAGTAATAGTCCGCGGTGCATACCACTTTTATCAAATTATTAATATAATTATAAAATTTCGTGAATGTCTCCTTGCTGTCGTAGCCTACAAGTATTTTATCTACGAAAATTCTTAGAAATGGAACGTTTTCTGGTTAAATAAATTAATTTAATGAAGTAATAAAAACTCATGAATACCCATTTGCTTGCCAATTGAATCGAAAGATAATTTGATCACAAAATCGATATAAAAAGTGCCCAAAAATATTAGGCCGTTTGGTCTATATAATGTGGTTATTTTGAAATTTTGGGGATTGAGGTCACATGAACACAGGTGGAGGTTAAATAAACACAATTTAGTCCATAAAGGCAATTAAATGAATTAATATCCATAATGAAATTTATATAATCGAAAGCTTCTACGAAAGAAACTTCAACTTCGTGACTACAACTAGTTGCTTGGAGGAAGATTTCTTGGTGTTTAGTACTCAGGACGTAGCAATACTAGTTAAAAATATATTTCTTGTCTCCCTGAGAAATTATCCAACACCAGATGCATGAAAATTGATTTGATAAAAAGATAGTCAGACCCCTTTCTATCAAATTATTAACATCCGCCTTAAACTGCGTAAATAGCTTCATCTCATCGTAACCTACAACTATTCTATTTACGAAAATTCTCGGAATCGGGGTGTTTTGAATTTGTAGATCGGTATAATTTGTCTATTTAATTAGGTACTAAAAACTCGTAAATACTCATTTGGTTTGCACTCGAATCGTAAGATAATTTGATCACAAAATCGAGAAAAAAAGGTAACCTACAAAAACATTGGGCCGTTTGGCGTGACCTACGCCACCAAAATTTTCTAATAACGATTTTATACCCCAAACGGCCAATATTTTTGTAGATCATTTTTTTTCTCGATTTTGTGATCAAATTATCTTACGATCCAAATGGGCAGTAACGAGTTTTTAGTACCTCATTAAATAGACAAAGTTTACCGATCTTCAGATTGAAAATGTCCCATTTTCGAGAATTTTCGCAAATAAAAAAGCTGTATTTTTCTATAAGATGAAGCAATTCACGAAGTTTTAGACGGATTTTAATGATTTGGTATAAAGAGGTTTTTTTACTGCGGAATATAAGGGCATGTGCAACCAATGAGTAATTCCCCTTCAAGTCGATATTTATGTCATATTACAATTTCAAATTTACTCATTATATTTCTAGCTAATACAGTACTAATACCTTTTCTCTTTGGTAACTGTTAAGGTCAACTATTTAATATAAAAAAGTTTAAATGTTATGGAAATTGTAAAGAAATGAAAATATATCAAAACTAAAGTTACGGTTTGTATTAAATAGAATTAGTAATTTAAAGTGGTACAAATGATGGCTTACATCATCTCCAGTTTTTTAATTGAACCAGTACGGAATTCCACTTATAATAAAAAGAAATGATGCGAATAAATAAGTTAC